ATTAACGGTTTTAAAAGTTTCACTTGCATCGTGATTACATAAAACCACATGAATTTCTGAATGTGATGACGCTTGGGGATATCTATATAAAAAAACCTAAATTCTAAATTCCAGAACCCTTTGTATACGAGTATAAATCTTGGTCGGTTGGTTTTATACGTTTACAATATAGCATAATTATTGTCTGCAAAAGCATAATGTTATTATCAGAAAACTGTCTTTAACTTTTGACTGCTAAGCGTGAGTTGCACCAAGGTTACATTAACAGAACTTGTTGAAGTTAAAGTAAAATCTAACATATATAAAATTCTCGTGTCACGGTATGCGTAACAATTGAACTACTCCGAAACGGCTCGACCGATTTTGTGAAAATTTATATGCATATTCAGTAGGTCTGAGAATCGGACAATATCTATTTTTCATCCCCCTATATGTTAAAGTCCACTCTTAAATTTTTTATAGGACAAAGTTTTTGTTTTTATTTTTTTATGATACATTATTCAAAAATACATACAACCCTAAATTTTCACCCTTCTACCACCAACCCCTATTTTTTTATGGCGGTACAAAGTTCGCTGGGACAGCTAGTTTTACTATAAGTAACTGCAACTGGCCTCCTTTGGACAACTATTGTCACTGTCCAATTATGACCTCATTTTGTCTATCGCTGAATAGTTCAACCATTTTTTTACATAACTAGATTAAAGTAACATGGTGCAACTCACACTTAACTTTAAAAACCATCATACAGTCGGGCTTCAATTAAATTTTAAATACTTACCAATGATATATTATAAACTTCTTGTTTATATAATATCATTGATACTTACCGGATAAATCATATCAGAAACTAGTACAACAGTAAAAGGAATCTTTGTTTCATCAAAAATTTGACGCATGATTCCAGCGTTAGCGTACGTGTGATTTCTTATTGTTTTAAATGCCTTACGCAACGTTGCATAAGATGTAAAATGAGGAAGTTGATTTACATTTTTATTGTTATTATAGAGTTGTCTTTGAGAGTTGCCACTTGGTTTAACAGGAAAGCTTATTAATCACTGCTGTTTAATTCTTAATTTTAAGTTAAGCTGTGAAACATAAAAAAAATGATTTTAAAGTAGCTGTTCATTCTGGTCTGTAGGTTTTATTTAAACAAATTTTAATCCGGTTAACAGTAAATCTTACTAGAGCTTGGTTAAAATGATGAGCATTGCCTTGATCTCCATATTCATAAAATTCTTCCAAAGAAATATGTTTGTTTCATAGGTTTTCACACACATCACTCATTAAATAAAATTGATCATTATTCTGACGATGCAGACCTGAAAAGGCTGCGAAACGTCAATAAATAAATATAGTTCATGCATTAATCCGTTATAACTAGTTTTATTTAAACAAATATGTGTTGTGTATTATTCATCAATTTGTTTTTCTACGTAGTTACAATATTCTTTTGAATCTAAACAAATATTTAGTGTAGATTCTTAATTAATAAATACCAAATACATCTATCTACATTAATCTGATATGTAACACGAAAGTAAAAGTAAACACAGTAAATGAATATTGAAAACGCACGCATTTCCGATGTCGTGTTTTTTTCTTCTTTAGGGAAATGGAAGAAAAATATCCAACGTATTCGTTGTACAACTCATACTATATCTGGAAACGGAATAAAGAAAAGCTTTTTGTACGGATAAACAAATAAAAAATAAAATTTTATGAAATCAAATAAAAATTAAATATGTATTCCCGTCATCTCAGAGCGGCTGTGATATTAAAATTACTATAATATTAGGCATTGCATATTGTATCGTAATCAAAACTAGAGGTGACACGTAAAATTTAAGCTTAATCGGATACCATAGTGATCGAAAGATGGTTTATATAATTGGAGGCGGATAACTCAAGTGAGTTGCACCACAGAGCTAGTTAAATTTTACTGTGTATCACTTTAACTGGCCTCGCGTATCCTTTGGACAGTTAATTGTCACTGTCAAATTATGATTTAATCTTGATTATCGTCCGTCGGTGCAACCCATTTTTTACATAGCCGGTACTTTAACTGAACAGTTAAAGTAAGTTGGTGCAACTCATCTTAAACATGCAAGTTAATTAACATGTAAAGGTAGAACACCGGTTATGTCTGTATTATTTGATTCGTCCTGTAGATTAAAATAATAATATTTTTATGATGAGAAACAAATTGTTTTTGCTTGTGGAAAATTTGTTTAAGTTGTGGCACATTAAGCTTTTATCTTATCGTTCTTGTATTCGAGATCTTCATCGTCTTTTGCTAGTTTAAGACTCATTACTTTTAACTGCTCTAACCGCAGAACATAGAAAGAGGTTTCTACTATCTAACATTTTTACCCAACTTATCTTTAATTACTTAACATCAAAATTAAGAGCACTAAGTCAACAAGTCATCTGCTTTATGTAGGTACTAAAATTGGGAAATTTATAAAATTATCAGAATATGTGTAAATATTTGCTTATAAATCATAACAACTCTATGCTGACATGAGAAAGTGATAATCTTACAACTATTTTGCTTTGAAAAGAAAGCGCAGAAAAAGGCCTTTTAAAGGTGTTAATTAATTATAAAGTCACAGTCAAATGTTACCACAGGTTTTCTTACTTTGGAATTAAAGCAATGCCAGAATTCAGTGGACAACTATCTTGGCTTTTTAGTTCGCAGCATGTTACCGTTAGCTTAATCTAAGGTCTCCAAGCTTTGCGAAACACCTGTGATTATGCACCGTACACAAGGACGAACCAGGCGCGACTTTCTATAAGGCCGCCTACTGACTGGCGACCAAATGCCGAGCACGGGGTCACCTATTTGCTGCATTCCACGTGCGAGGGCCAATTTTAGAACACGGCTAATTTTGGTACCACTTTCTACGTAATGTAGTAGAATTTGACACTTGCATATTAAATATGCTGTAAGAACAAACTCACTTTTAACCTCGGTATACCGTTGTGCTTTAAAAATAGAACACGAATTTCAAATTTTTTAATCACACCGGCGGAATCCGCGGTAATAAGTGGGTTTTTGTTTTTACAAAATACATGGACTATTCTAATTGAAATCAGTCAATAATTTTGAGTATGAGAACGAATGACCGAGCGAATTCAATAAATTATTAAGTAACTACACTCCAACTTCAAGCATCATTGACTAAAGGAAGTATAATAATAACGTAGCAAACTTACGCCTTTCACTCTAACAAATTGATTCATTTGTCGTCCTAATTAACGCATACCTAGCTTGCCAACGTAGGCAGAACAATGCATTTGTGTGCCAAATATAATAACTTGAATATGCAAAACGTCGAATGTTTGTAGTCAACCTTGTAGATGTCACTTTGAAATTATGATGGCGCACTTTGAATAGCTGAAATTATCAATTCAATAGGACACATTACTATTGGGAAACAAGCAGACATTTCATAAAATGTTACTTTCGGACTTGAAACACTAAGATAATGGAGTTTCTCATGAGTCTCGAATACTTACGATATTTTACTGAACATTTTTCCGAGTAAAAACAAAATGCGGTCGTTTGCAGTGGTAACAAGTTTTAACTACCTGTCACTTTCATTGCCATCTGCTGGTGTGGGGTTAGAAAGAGAGGCTAGCAATTATTATAGTACTAGAGTGAATGGATCTGTGAGAACTTTGGATAGGTTTGCCACAATGGCTGCTATTTCTTCATTACCTCCTAATTATATGCACTAAAACTGGGTTTTTAGGATGCGATCATGATTTCAAATGTCTTTCGGATGCACGCCTTATTATTTCAACCTCATAATATAGACTAATATTTAGGCAAAAAATTATGAATACTTTACTCATAAAGTTACAAGTAAATTATTTTGATAATGGATATGTTAAGACAAGGAGAATACATTGATATCGCTGAATACATTCCGGAGAATTAACATAAGTTTATTATAATTTATTAAAAAATATAATTACGTACCTTAATAAACAATTCAATGCTGATGTACGGTTCATTTTCCTCCATACGTGATCTCATAACATGATGCCACTAATTCTTAAGTCATCATCTCAAACACGAAACTTATTGACGTCATTGCCATTACCTCTTCGAACAATGGGCTGAGAGTATCTCCGGGGTATTGTGATACCTTATGTTCCTGGTTTATCATATAGGCGTACTATTAGGTGTCCGCGATTTTGTTCGATGCTTGTTTTATTGGTTATACTTAGAAACTTCCACCTCCCTTTTCCACCCCCTTAAACGACGATTTCTTGGATAAAAACTATCCTTCATATTTTTTCGGGACTCGAAACTCATATAATAACAAATATGCCTAATGTCATCTTAATCCGTTCAGGCAGACACACTTTTGCATTAGTATCGATGAGTGAAATGTTAGGTTATATAAAATTTATTTAAAAAATCTTGTAGATCTTTACAGTTTTAAGGGGTGATGACGGGGTGCAGTGAACGAAATTCTATTTAGTCCGTCAGTTAGATGATCAAAAAATAATGGACACGTATTTTTTTTTTGGGCAATCAACCAAAAAATGACAAAGTTATAGCGCGTCAAAGTTTGGGAGTAGGGGCTCGTAACGTCACTTTTGAGTGAATTTTCACTTATAAGTGTACTCAAACGTGACGTCATGCGACTTTTCAAATCAATATATCTCTGCAATGTTTGTATTATGTGAAAAAAGAAAAAATACGTGTCCAATACTTTTTGATAATCTACCTGATAAACGAAGAAAAAAAAATTAGTCATCATCCCTATTGCTTAATTTACTTCATAAAATTCGATGAGCAGATATGTGATTTAAGTGACTAACACAATTTTAATTAATTTAAATTATGTTGTGGCTAAAATTATATTGGTAAACTTATGAAGTCAAGATCTTCGTTTTATAGAGAGTGTTTAATTCTAAAGATGTTTCTGAAATCAATGTTAAATGAAATTTCATTGTTAACAAAATGTTTTCTCTCTTTACAGTGGAAATTTACCTATCACCCGTGGAAACTCACTGCAGCAATGTGGATTACTTTATTCCTGATGAGAATAACGAGACCAAAGAATTCTCAGACGATGCGATGAACAGGTATACACAATTATATTATCTACGTGGTAGCTTAGGTGATATTCGAAGTTGTGATGGTCAAAAATTTAACTTAGAAAGCATGTGATAAATAAAATCCTATGTTTAACGATGATCACCATTCATAAATGTTTTTCATTTACCATCACACCAAATCGATGTTTTTTGTTGACCACCACACAACTGTTGTTTATTGAGCTCAATTCTTTACCGTCATTTTCTAGAATAAGTTTGTGTTTTACCTAACGTTTTTGTATTAATGTATACTTATTTGCTAAATTGGGCGTAAAAGGAAGCTTAAAGTTTTTCCGGTGTTAATTAAACTTTATCAAAGTATAGGGTAGTTTTAGAAACCTATGTAAGCGACACTCGATCTGTCACTATTCTATTTGTACCAAAATTAGCATCGGCATGAAGTTATAGAAATGATATTTACACGGATATACAATTTAATATCTGTCAACTCTTTAAATCCTATAATATGGTGTGGTGCGGAATTAACGGTACATGAATTTATGCAGTGTGCTTCAGTTAAGTATCCCATAGAAGCTTTTTATTAATGATATTTTACGTCATAATCCAAAACATCGGTTTCTGTCAACGCGAAGTATAGTGGAACGAAAATATGTTGAACTTACTTTGATTGATAACTCTACTCAAGCTTTTTTCCGTTTGTAACTGTTCCTTTTATTGATAAATTGGTGGTGATTCCATCATCAGTGCTGAGCTGACCACGCTGTCGGTCGCAAAGTTAAATCAATGTGACTCTTACTCGAGTGGCGATAATTTGTCAAACTGCACTCGGGCCTTGTGCTCGATCGGTACAAGTAGGTTAGGCTTTAAGGTTGTCAAAGTCTCATAAAACATTTTTCAATAATTTGTTGGTGATATAAAAGAACTGTAAAGGCAAATTTCTTGCAAACCTAATTATATAAGGGCTGGCTAAGTGAGCTGAGGCCAAAGCACGAATTTTTGACAGCCCCGTAACATATCTCAGCGTCAAAAGCAAGCAGCGGACGTAAGACCGAACTAGCTTTTTCTATACTTTGACGATGACGACACGTTACAGAGCTGTCTAAAATTTGTTCTTGGTTCCCTGATCAGCTACCTTCTCAAAGTGGAATGCACTAACACTATATATCAATTGAGATGGTGAAAATTTGCCCGTCCTTGTTTATGAAAGAAATATATTTTGTAGTCAGATCTTGCTGCTTAAGTTATTCATTGGAGGATTGCACAAGACGATAATACCTATACAGGTTGGGCGGGATAGTCTTGTTTGACTATTTGTTGCGTGCCTTGTTGACTGCTCCTCTCGGATTCAAATGGAGCCGGTTTTATGGTTACCTATGCTGTCCAAGGCCCTTCAGATTTAATGACACAAACTATCAAAGCTCAGTCTGTTTAAATAGTTACTAGCGGTGCGGCTTCATCCACGTTAATTCGAGAAAGGGAAGGTGGGGTCAATCTTAAAATACAGACATTATAGAGTCGAGCACTTTTTTTTTAATTTTAAAGGGGGCCATTTTCATTATACACCGTTTTTGCGTAAGTTTGACCGCTTACGCAGCTCACGCAACGCGCACCGGAAGCTCTCAAATAAATAGTTTTGCCCGTTTTTGTAACGGTTTTCATTTCGATGTTCCAGTTCTATTAGTCGAATCGTGATGCTAAATTCGCCTTCCTCGATTTTTTTACGATATTAGCGCGTTCAAACAACAAACTCTAGAAACTGACAGCCCTGTCAGCGGGCAATAAACGGATTTAAATCGATACAACAAATTGATTCATTGTCTCGAGTAGGTAAGTACCAGTCCGGTGCGCGGTGATTTACTTTTATTTGCAGCGAGAGTGGCGAACATAATTTCGTAACTATTTTATAAATCGCTCCTATAGAACAATACTGGCAGATGTTGGATTATTGATACCTATCAAAGGCTCAATAAATCATGCACATAATTAGTAGAGATAAGCTCTGGAGCTCTAGGGCCCTAATTTGTACCAGATAATTTAAACATTGTTTCTTCTAAAAAGTTTCTGTCACGCATGATTTACTATTTACATTTACCATTCATGCTATGAAGGGGATATTTAGAAATATATACCAATATTTATTTATTGCACTTGTCTTAGACTCGCACATATATTACTAAGACTTACTTTCTTCTATGCCGCAATACTCATTCGACTCGATTTTCCCATCTACGTTTTCAAAGAATCCACCCGGATTGCGGAAGATGCGGGTTTGAATCCCGTCAGTTTGATACCTGGACAGCGTGGATTTTTCCTAGTAAAGATTTTCTTTAGATTCATAAATCTAGCAGTTAAATGCTTAAAAATTTATAATAACCTAGCTTTATGGAATTCTTCTACCAGTCTTTCTACACCTGCTCTATCGTCACATTATATTTTCTAGAACCAATCTGGTGGTCAGGTCAGATAGTTCTACATTGTTTAATCGCTTTAAAAATAATGAAAACAACTATTTCCATAAACTTCGATAGAATGGGCAATAAGTTGAAACGGTCTACTAGAAGATGCACCTTCGGGAGCTTGGTTCGAGGGGCATTTTTATTTGTGCTAAGTCATATTATTAAGTTATATTATTATACATTTACATATTATTAAGTCATATTATAATTTTTATATAACGACTGTCACTCACACAACTAAATCTAATAACATCTCTCAAGCCAATATACAATAAATGTAAGGTATCTTACCTTGTGGCAAAGAAATATAAACACGAGTACACCTGTAAAACATAACCATTAACCAATCTATATTTTTATTTATTAAATATTTAACTGCTACATGTTTAAACATGCGAAGAGATGGCGCTGCCTTGCAGCTTAAGAAAAACTAGCAGCAATTCGACACGGCCATTAAGGTCGTGGTAGCATAATTTGTCAGTGCATCGGCCCGAATAGCGGAGGGTGCGGGTGCAAGCCTCGTCTGATTCCTGTATGGCGGATGGCGTGGATTTTTTCTAGTAAAATTATAAATTATTATAATTTTACTAGAAAAAAATTAAATAATAATTCTTTTAGCGAAGTCGGGTAAAAAGGCCCCCATAAATATTTGTGGAGGAACTCGATGATAAGTGGCTGCGATCGTTGAAGTTGAGCAACTTTCGCAGTGGTCGGTCATTGGATTGGTGACCAAAAATGTGCTATCTCGAGCTCCTCCGTACTTCGAAAGGCACGTTAAGCTTTTAGTCCCGTCTGTATTTGCACTGCAGTCGTTAGCATACGCACTGGGCATGGTGATTCATCCTAATCTCCCTATTCCATCCATAGGGAAGGCCTGTGCCCCAGCAGTGAGGACATTAATAGGATGATGATAAGAAATGTTCTATAACATTCATTTGTTTTCCCGCTTCAGGTTACACATGGCGCGATCGACGGTGGCACTATTCATCGTGGCCTTCCTGTCACTCTTCATAGCCTTCTGGACCGGCGTGGTCGGCTGCTGGAAGCGCAGCCCGGGGAACATCACTGCCACTGCTATCCTCATGCTTGTTACATGTAAGTTAAACATAAGGTTTTTGACGTGATAACCTCTTATAAATCGATTAACACCGGCTGCAAGCACAAAAACCATGACGTCATGTCACGTTGTCACGAGTTATTTTTACGTTGCACGCTCCCCCTGACTCCTCTGCCGCCCCACCTCCACCACGAGTTTGCAAGAGTAGGCCTAAGCCTAGCTCGGGCCCACGTAGAGCTACAGAGGCGTGTTTGTACTCAGAGGAAACGGGACAAAAAGCCACACAAAAATGCCCCGAGCAAAACAGCTAGCGACAAGTTATCACGTAAAATTATCATCCGTGAACCGACTTTGGTTTTTGGACTGTCATTTTTTTTTCTTCGGGGCGCAACTTCAACCCTTCCCCACCTGGTGTTAAGTGTAAGTGGAGTCCAGTCACGAAGATGGATGATGCGGCAGAACGTGTCCCGCTCCAGCCATCCTTACCGTGCCGGCCTGAATACTCCTACCCTAGAACTCTATTTACCAGTAAAAACACAGCACCATCGAAAGGTGTTATTTTCTGCGGTCTTCTGTAAGGCGGGGGTTGCGTCCTTAGACGGGTGCTTTAATTCAAGCGGGTAATCCACTGTGCCCTACCTCTCTTTGACAAATATTATAAAGTAGAAAAAAATACTAGTAAAAATTCCACTGGAATCAGCCATAAGAAAGAATTCGTACCTGCACCTTTAAAAAATTTATTATCTCGAGATCTATGCTTCGAAAGACACGTTAAGGTGACAGTTATGACTGTATTTGCTATCGTTAACTAATAAGCACAGACTTACGTGGTGAGTCAGTCATACCTTGTTCTGTGATAAGGTAGTCCTGAAGATTAGAAGTAGCAGTGGGGACATTAATAGGATGAAGTCATCATATCGATGAGCTCTCGATTGGCCTGCGATCGTAAATGTTAAGTATCTTTTCGGTCGGTCATTGGATGGGTGACCAATGACTTATGACATCGAGCTTCTCGGTGCTTCGGAGGGAACGTTAAGCCGTTGGTCTAGGCTGCATCAGTCGTAAGCACCCACCAATCCGCACTGGGCCCGCGTAGAAATTTCATCGAGTTTTTAACATTGTGATGTAGTTTATTGCCTGATAACTGGACAGTATTTTTTTCTCTCTCTCACAATTTAAGAGTGACACGACTTGTCGGTGCAGTCAATGAATCTTCCGCCATCTCTCTTTTTCCTCCGCTAGCTCCTTGAATCCCTGTACGAACTGACTGACTCAACGCCAGCTTTCTTCTTAATTTGGTAGGGTAGTCTATACTTGATTTTTCATTCCTTTCTTTCCTTTTACTTTGCCTTGTCACACAAAGGTGGTTTTGTTTTCGGATGCGGAAAGTGCATTCACTCCTGGGAAACGCGTGTCACGCGAGTTAAGACACGACGACATATATATGTATACGGATCCCTCGACCTCGAGTTAGGTTCGCGGCGGCCTTTACGGTGGTCGATACGTTACGGAGATGTCAAAATTCTTGCTTGGACCTCTGAACGCGTGGCCAGCGTGTCCCGACTACGCGTAGCAAAGGAACGCGCTATCCGTACGCAGCTTAAGCAAGCTAGAAAATACAATGAAAGCGTTAATATTGTAAATATAGAGACGCAGTCATGGATTACATTCGTACGTGGTTCACATTCTCCACTGCGTACCCCACGATTCGCATCTACCTTCATCATGTGAACCGCTTTTCTCGTCATTATTCCCCGATACATATATATCTTCAAGACAAGAGTTAATACGCATTATTTGAGTCTGTAATTCTCAGGTGCGATTGTGGTCAAACTGATTCAATGCTGTTATATATATATTTTTAAATAACAGCATTGTGCCGGGACCACACACATGAAGTGAAACTTATTTTCTTAAATAACCCAACGTTAAGCGGTACATAAGGCATAGAGGAATGGAGCAGCGCACGCATCACTCATATATATATATATATATATTGTCGCTTGTGACGCTCGTAGCGTTTCAGCCTTCTCCTAGTTACCCTGTGCTATAGATATTAAATTTGCTGCACTTTTTTAATCAATTTTGTTCATTATATCTTCAGGTCTATTAGCAGCAGGCGCGATGGCCTTGTGGCACGGAGTAGAGTTCTACGAGAAAGAGAAGGCTGTCGGTGAAGAGTACTACCAACAATGGCCTAACGTAAGTTTTCCAACATCATTATCATCAAACTATGTATATTTGTCCATCTATTGGCATATTGATATTACAGAAGTTCTCATAACATTAATAGCAGTTATGTACTAGTTTATTTCATGATAGAAGACAACTAAAACACACTACACACACACTTCTGGTACAGCTTCCACTAAAAGTTAGCTCTACATAGTCAGAATCTATATCTGTTTATTTGAATAGAGTTGAAGAAACGAGTTTCTTACATTATTTTGATTTCATACAATATTTATAATAATTATAACATATTTTTGACCGTAATAGTCAATTAAGGGGGTATTTAGTTGAAGACAAAAAGAATTTCATGATTTATATAGTTAATGAGCTAGCATGAATCTAAAATTTATCAGTAGTATAAATCTTTGTATCCCTTTAAATAATGAAAAGGTGAGACTACGAAAAATTTACAAATAAGATTATATTATCAGCAGCAAAACAGGTGCTTAAAAACAACTCGTCGATATGGTACGACTGATCCTATATCCTCACGTGGCTGAGCGTGGGAGTCTCCATCGGGAGCTCAGTGCTATTCATCTCTGCGGCCGTCTGTTTAAGCTTAATTTGCACTTTTACTAGCAATATTACTGTTATTCTTATGTTTTTATGGATATTAATCATAAAAACCCCCTCATTAGCGGCAAAACAGGTGCTTGAAAACTACTCGTCGATGTCGTACGACTGCTCCGAGATCAGAATAAAGGAAAAACCGCTGACTAATTAAGTTTTGAGTTTAGAGAATCGAGTCAGACATTGGTCTATTATTATCAATTTATTTGTATTTTTTGTACTTCTACTAGCAATATTAATGTTTTCTTTAGGATTTTCTTGATCATCATAAGCCTCCTCGTTGACGACAAAACAAGTGCTTAAAAACAACTCGTCGATGTGGTACGACTGGCCCTATATCCACGCGTGGCTGAGAGTTAGAGTTTCATTCGGGAGCTCAGTGTTATTCTAGTCTGCGGCCGTGTGTTTTAGTTTGATTTGAACTTTACTATATTTATATTTTTTCTTTAGTTTCCTTTATTTACCTAAATTCCCCTACTTACTCACCTGTTGTTCCTTGTTGTTGTTCTTCGCAAATCTCCTTTTTTTTCTTGTTCATATCCTTTCCTACTTTTTACCATCTGTAATCACCACATATCCAACTATCCACATTCCGCTCCTCTAATCGATCAAGTTTAATCGATGTACTACCCAATTAGACGAAATGAAGCTTGCATATGGCAAATGGCAACATTAGCCGTCATGCCATAATAAAAGAAGAAGAAGAACTTTACTAGCAATATTACTGTTATTTTTAAGACTCATGTGAAGTGTTATCATAAAACCCCTCATATTGGCGGTAAAACAGGTGCTTAAAAACAACTCATCGATCCGGTACGACTGGTCCTATATTCTGGCGTGGCTGAGCGTGGGAGTTTCCTTCGGGAGCTCAGTGCTATTCTTCTCTGCGGCCGTTTGTTTGGGGAGGGAGAAACGGCGCGAGCAACAGAACAACGTGCAATACATAATGCCAGGTCAGGCCGCCATGTTGCGACGCCATCTTGTGCTTACTGCTCGCTTGGTAATGGCGGTCGGTCGGCGATTGTACATATCAAACATTAACGGTCCATGAAGGCTTGTGTTGCGAATATTCTTTTAAGTTTATTTTTTTATTTCGTAAAACATTTTGAACAGTTTTTATTAAATATTATTTTATTTATTTATGTAAAGTTGTCCTTCTTTATATATATATATATATATATATATATATATATTGATTTATTGATACATTATTGATTTCTTTTAACGGTTCCTTTAATAATTAAGATGTAGACTGAATTTTATTTTAATGAAAAGACTAATTTATTTGAATACCTATATAGATTCCTAAAGAAGAATGAAGTTATTTATGTTAAAATACTTTTATATTTAAATTATTCCGTATTTTTATTTATTTGTGATTATCCATTTTATTATAATTGTTAATATATTATTATTATATTACCTATAGTAAAATATTGTGTAGGTTGGACCAGAAATGCAGCGTTATCGTCGAAATAACTTAGATTTAAGTAAACCTCATGTAATTATCTCATACTAACAAAAATGCTTTTCTCTCTTTTCATGTTTCTATGAAACTTGGCGTTAATGGAACTGCGTGCGATCGGTCTAACTATAAATTTAAATCATATAAATATAAATATCGCGCTATTCCTTAATATCTGGTTTACGCCAAACGCAATACTAACATGCTTACAAACGATACTTATGAATCATTAACATTATGGTGATGTCCCTTTTTTAACAAAACCGAAAAACCAACTCTATTGCCTACTACTGTACATATTTATACCTACCTGACATGACATGTTCTGTACATAATGATTTTTTCTGTCATAACAAAAACAAAATTACACCTACAAAAAACAACAAAATTTCCACTTCAACAAAAACATCAAAATTGTGAAAAAAATCTTCTTTTCTCAACTGCTTAATTACACAAAAATACACCTATAAACAATGCAATTTATATAACAATATATCGCAACAAAAATATTTGAATTGTGGTGAAAATCTTTACGTCTTTCACGGTTTTGTATTTTTTCTTACTAACAAAATCTACGTACATCACAAACTCCTCTGGAATAACAACAACAACAACACCTACGAATAAATAACGAATTTCCAAAAAATATATCCCAACAAAAATATCGAAAATTGTGGAGAAACCTTTACGTTTTTCACGGTTTTATTATATTTTTTGTTTATATAATGTTCTGTATATTACAAAATGTTTTGACATAATAACACATAAATACTTCAACGAATAAAATCGTGTAATTTACATAAAAATATATCTCAACATCATCAAAAATCACGAATTTTTACTCGAATTTTTATTCACAAAACAAAACAATGATCGATAAACATATCAAATTTGTGGAAAAACCTTCACGTTATTTTCATTTCTTTTTGGAAAATACTAATAATCGGTAACAATAAACAAACTTTATACTGGGGAAACGCGTTTCAAAACAACCGGTATAAACCAGATATTACGTGAGAACGCGCGCGTACGTTACGACTGGTCGTACATTGTGGCGTGGTGCGGCGTCGGCCTGGCGCTGCTGTCCGCCATCTTGTTCTCGTCGGCCGCCATTTGCTTGCGCGGCGAGCGGGAGAGGGAGGAAGCGCTTAACATGCAATACCTCATGCCTGGTAAATGCTTTAGTCACTTTAGTGTAATAGACATATTTGTGATAGGTAACCTGGTTAGTTTTGTTTATCGAATAGTAATTGGAAGTAAAATTAACTTTACCGGGTATTCATAACCTATTGCTAAACAAAGACAACAACATGTCGAAAATTTGAACTTAAAAAGTTCAAATTTTCGTATAAAGTTGAAAGTCCACAATTTAATAGTTTTGTGTAGCTCAAAGAGCTGCTGCATAACAAATAAAATATGATTATTTCATGGAGTAGATAGTTGTAAATGTGTAATTTGCTAACCCTTCTTTAATAGTTTATTTAACATTAAAACAACTGAATTGTTGTTTTTGTATATACTTACCTACTTACTTACATCATCAATCAGGGGATATGAATATCGCTTTAAAAATGCTTTGGGAAATTTGGGAATTTATGTTCTTTTTTGTTATAATATAAATATTCGTACATGTGTTCCAAATTTGATAAGTCCATTGGTAGGGTGACTTTTGTAAATAATCTTGTCTCTAGTCAAATTATCTCTATTCTGTATTAAAAAGAATAATTTATTTGACAGCAAATCCCACAGTTAAGAGAATTATTTTGATATTGTTTTTATTAGGAGATTGTTTTTGATACTGTTCAAATTGCCCACATTCGGTTTATTTTGTTTCTTAGTAAATATTCCACTGCAACTTAATAAATACCCCTTATAACTTTAGTCACAATTTCAATACTCCTTATTAACATCTAAACAGGATTATTCAACTCCGCAATCTATTCCGCAGTGTACCCCCAAAAGCAGCAATACGCATACGCCGGATACCCGCCTCCCCAGGCATACCCCGGCCCCTACTACCACGGGTCCCAGTACGGGCCCTACAACTACTGAGCCCACGACCAGATGAGGGATCTTACTACGGCGCCCTACAACCCCCCTGCGCCGCAAGCACCCGCGAGAAACCCCACCCCGACGAACTCCCTGCTAACCTTTAATTCCCATCGGAGAATCAGGAGGAAACTCGGCGACAAGAAGGTCTACAGACCGGTGAGACGACACACTTTATCTAGGATTGACGAGGCACCCGTACAACGGAACGACATCCAATCCAGCTTCCTAACAGACTTCTCATCGACAAGACCCATTCTACGATCCAGGTCTAACATTTCAGCTGATACTAGCCGAAGCGTGCCCGTCTGCAATCAGAGCCAAGAAATCGGCAATCAAGTAGAAAGCTCCAGCCCTCAATACGCCGAACCTGGTACAGAAACTGACTCGTCTTACGACATCCCCGCGTCTATGACCGACTTGCCGGTGATGATCCCGCTGGACCCCGCCCCTTATTATCCCCAATACGCGTATTATACGGACGACGGAAGAATGAACGGACACAAGTTGAGAAAGAAAATGAAAAAGCTGTCGTCCAAACATAGCAATTTGTATCTTGCGTTCATGTACTGAGGCAGCTGATTGGTAACAGGATGGCTTGGTGGATGGTGTTTTTCGGATATTAATCTTAATTTATAGATCGTTTCGGAATCAACCGAATCATCCTTGATTGATAAAAATATTAAAAACTAGTAAGGATTTAAATGAATTGAAAACACCTTTGCCTCGCCATCCTGTTGATGATCTCTCCAGGTCCTTAACGTGAGTTGTCAAAACAAAAGCCGAGACCGCTTTTGGAAGCTCAAGGTGACGAGTTTCGACGATGCCGTTACAGTGTATGACGTCACGACAAATTAGTTTTTGCTCTCCAAAGTTCCCCTGGTTTTCGTTTCAAACGCATTTACATACACTGCCTTTTTATTTTAAATGGGTGGCCCGAATCTGGTTAGATTATAAATAAAACTGTTTGACTATTGGCACGATTTATAAGGTCGCCTGCGAGTTACTCGAATTGTCCGAACGAAACTTCGAACAACAAACGAGTTCGATACACTCGTCTGTCGGCCATTGCAGCACGGCTTACGAAACTCCGACACCACTGGTCTCTTCGAAATTTCAATGTAATTAACTGATGTTCGCTTCCGATGTTTAAATCGATTTTAGTTTGTATAGTATTGTAACAAGGTACTTATCAGATAATTGCGTGAATACCTATGTATAGTTAAGTAAGATGGGTAGACGTGTGACTCTGCCATAAGTGTATTGCGATTCAAACAAAACGTTAGTGATAAGATCGTTTAGGTGAAATATTGAACAACTCGTCTTTTTATGTGAGACGACACTGTATTGAACAAAGTCTTATGTATATTGGAATATTGTGCCTTTATTATATAACGTATAGCGCCCGTGATACGATCAATTGCAATTTGGTAGTGTTAAGTGATTGCATTGGTTTCATTTTAGTTTCTTTATATTCTGAAAACGTTTTAATTTCATGATGCAACAACTGCTGTTGTTGACTTTAACTTAAACTGACTTATCAAGACTGACAATAAACAATATAAACTGACTGAATCTAGGCTGACAATTGTCAATCATAATAATTTTGGCAAAAAACACTGATTTCTGTAACACAGGTTTATTATCCTAACATGGAAATCAGGGTGATCAATCTCACATGTGTACCTACTGTTGTTAAGTAATACATTTATTATTATTATTATATAATGAAATAATATCTATTGCAATTGATTGTTTCATAGGCACTGAAAACAAATGCTCACTCAAATTGTATTGATTTATTAGATTACACATATCTCTTGTAACTTTAATTTAATTTGTAGATGAATATTTTTTTTTATATAAATATCCAATCTACTGTACTTTTTTACGGTTATGTATATAGTCAATGACTATGCATTGGCGAAATGCAAGGTACTTCGGACGGAAGTTATAATTATATTTTCAATTTATTCCCTTTAGTTAGATAAACGGATTATGTACCGATAGTACGAGTCACGAACTAAATCCGTCCTGTATAATAAATATTCTGGAGTACATAAAACATTTATTTTTAACAATCGTCTTCTATTAAAATAATGATATTTAGTCAGAATGTCGAGGTACTGAACCAATAATTTTGTAAATTAATTAATTTTAGTATAATTTGATATGATATTAGAGATTTTTAGGATATTTTCACTGGAAATGTATTTAAAATTTTCTAAATAAAAATAGTAAAATTATGTGTATTTTTTTCAAACTGACTTAAATAAACTTCAAATTGAAATTACCAAGTTGCCTGCCTTTTGTCAAAAGACTATATTCTGTGACGAGGTAAATAAAAATATTTTTTACAAATATACAAAAAGTATATTGATATAATCTTTGTACAAAAATATATATAATATGGCGACACTGGACGTACATAATAATAATACAATGTTGGATGGAATGGACGAATTGACATTATCACACGTTGAGTTAAACTATAAATATTTTTTTAACACACACTGTGACCTGTATCACATTAGCATTTACAAAAAGTTGTTACCTATCATTTAAATTTGCGTCTTAAAAAGAGAAAATTTAATAGGTAGGTACTCCCAAAAGAACATTTTTGTTCCCAATAAGATTAGCTAGCAGATCAAAAACTTATGCTTTATTTTTAATTATATTGCAATTTTAAATAATTGACACTGGAAAGCAGCATATACCTATAGCAAAAGTGAAAGTACTAATTTATACTTAAAATCCACACGATGTACTGATTCCAATATATAAGATTGAAGAACAGTAGTTACTCATTCAATCTTATATTTTGTTATAATCTACGGTCCCTGCTAAAAGGTTTTCCATAATATGAACACTATTTTGAAATAACAATAGGACCTCCAGTAAAGTAACCCGATGACATTACATTTATTGTATTGATTAACTATGAAGTGGCAATGAATTACAAGATTTCCGTTTTTTTTGTTTCCTTTTAAATGTATTCTATTCGAAAAGCTAATTGATTCTGATTTCTGCAAGTGAAACGCGATCTAGATCTAAAGTTCTGACTCAATCCAAATCACAAACTGGAAAATATACACTATCGACCTTAGATTAAAACAAAAAGGTAAGATACAGCAATCGCGGCTCCAAAATGATCCGCTTAAATTATGGTGCATGACCACAATTCGCTTTAGTCACAACTGGACATTCAAACACGCTACATGTGCACTGAATATAATAATATTGCGTATATTCTGTGTTATAAAGATAAAACAATGCCTTTGATGCTTTGCTATAGAAACACAAATAGTTCAAAATCAAATAACAAGTGCCTTGGCAACACTTTATCCGAAGAACTGTAAAAACTTTTTTTTCTCAAAAATCACGGTTAGTCGTTATTAACGTAATCGCCATTTTGTTATCAAAAAAAGGACAACAATACAGCTCAGTCGTACGGACTCGGGAGCGGACCCGCCGTTTCGCTCGCACGATTGAATGTTCTGAAATGTTGCATGTGCATGTTATGAGAGTTGCTTATGATGTTGAATCGGATCATATTTTATTTGATGCTAGTTTGAGCGTGCCGTATCTTCCCATTTTGATTTAATCTAAGCTATAGACAGAATCTACTATCTTATGGTTCTACATCGGATTTTTAAGATTCAAGTTTTCGCTAAATTCTTCCAACTCACGTAAATGTATACTAAACTTGCGCAAGTATATCGCTGCATATATACAGTATCGTCTGCCATATAAAGCACACGTTAATCTTTCCATAGTAATTTGATGAATACTGTTACTGCTAGTAGATCGTTATGGAATGCTGATAATTTAACATATAGGCTTGTTATATAGCCGTGTCTATCATATGTCCGGGGTGGGATAAAGCCTGCTTCCTCTCCTGGACAGCCGTAACGAGTTTCCTGTACGGACCCAGGGGTAGCCCCAAGGTCTTCATATCGCTCTCAGTGAGCAGCATCAAAGCATCCAGGTCTATTTGTTCGTCTTTGAACTTCTGCACGTATTGTCCGAGGCCCCACGCTGTGAGGAAACGTTCTAAGGAAGAGAATCCACTCTCTTCCGGCTCGGCTTCCTCTTCCGATGTGATCGTTGAGCTTTCTGAAATTCGTAACAGACAAATTATTGCCTTTAAATGTCTTTGGGAGACGAAAATTTTGGGAAGACCAATCAAAAATCAAATTCATTACTACTTTAGTATTAAAAGGTCTAGCAAGTTGGCCACCCATCTGTCCCCCTAGACACCGCGATATGATATATAGCTCGGTTTTATTACTCTCAATTGTCGAATTAATATGGAGTTTGACAGTGCGACGCGATAAAAAACGCGATATGTTTATTAAATAAATAAATATTTCCAACACCCACAGCTGTTACATAGCCCCAAAGTAAGCACTGTAGACTTGTGATATGGGATACTAGTGTAACGCATAGAATACGTATACTGTACAAATATACTGAAGTATAAATGCTCGTATTCATCACACAAACATGTGCCCCCACCGGGATTCGAACCCGCGACACCATGAAACCCGGCTTATAAACCACTCGACCACATAGGTCGTCCAATCTAGATAGATATCTTTTACTTAGCCTCTTGGGCGGTTTCTGACACCTTTTCTCTTGCCCTGCTTATATTGAACAGAGAGCAACATCAGTTAAGACAGGTAGGGCAAAGTAGATTTTGGAGGCAGATATCCCCCACCGGGATTCGAACTCGGGACCTCTCGAGTCGGCGACACACCCAGCGTACAAACCACCCGGTCACGGATGTCGTCATTGTAGTGTTCATAGAGATCTGATAGAGACCACACAGTCTCATCTTTTTAGATTGATCGCCATTTCTCTACCCAATGGAGTTTTGGTTGGGTAGATTACTAGCACAGCGCAGAACGTTTGAAAAGTCGTTTTATGAATATCATTGTACCTAATAAAGTAAACTATTTAGTTTGAATTTGCATGGAATTATACTCGGTGAGCTAGTGAGTGAACCAGTATCAGATATCTGATCGACAGGTTTAAAGAAAAGTATAACCTAATTAATATTGGTGCAATTACCTGAATGCGCAGAATTCCACTCGGTGGGTTGGTACGCATGTCTCGCAGCCAGCGAGCCAGCAGATCCTATCGACAAGTCTTCGCCTGCTCCAACCACTGGTAAAGCACTTAATGTCGCCGTTATAGACCGCCTGTAATGATATTACACAGTTTTGACAGCCAATTCTATGGTGCAGGTGGTAAACACATTCGGCTGGCAATTATGATAGTTAAGCAACTTTCGCAAAGGCCGGTCTTAGGATGGGTGACCAAAAACTTATGAGAAGCTCTTCCGTGCTTCGAAAGGCTCGTTAAGTCGTTGGTCCTGGCTGTTGACAGCACCCACCTATCCGCACTGGGCCCGCCCCTAGTGGGTCATGGCCCATTCTTCTTATAACATCTCAAGGCAAGGGAAGGCCTGTGCCTAAGCAGTGGGGATATTAATAGCCTTACGATGATGCAAACTATTATTAAACATTTTTTTGATAATCAAGCTTTATGACCCGTTGCTGGTAAATGAGCATAATAAAATGGATTCTAATGTGTGCAGATGCAGCTAGGATTTCCAGCTTAACGCGCTTCCAAAGCAAAAAGTAGTTTGAGACAATGAATATTTGGTATTTTATAACCGGCAAATGCGGAAGTTGCTTAAAATTTCTATGAGAGACCGAACGCGTTAACCACTGGCATGGAGCTCCTCAAAATTTACTGGAGAGGGGTTAAAGTTTTTCCTTCACATATTAATAATTATGTCAATAAGTTATGCAAATATCGAACTTGTTGAAATAGTCAATGAAAAACCTGAACGCCACGCTTCCGATGCTGTTGTCTTCGGCTGCCGCAGTGAAGTCACGCTGGCTGGCTGACCTTCAAACATTATGGTTAATGACTGACCTGAACGCCATGCTCCCAAAGCGGAGCCGTTGTCCGCAACTGTCGTAAAGTAAGACTAGCTAGCTGACCTTCAAACATTACGGTTAATGACTGACCTGAACGCCACGCTCCCGAAGCTGTTGTCCGTAGCCGCTGTGAAGTATGACTAGCTGGCTGACCTTCAAATATTACGGTTAATGACTGTCCTGAACGCCGCTCCCGAAGCCATTGTCCGCAGCCGCTGTGAAGTAAGACTATCTAGCTGGCTGACCTTCAAACATTGCGGTTAATGACTGTCCTGAACGCCGCTCCCGAAGAAATTGTCCGCAGCCGCTGTGAAGTAAGACTAGCTAGCTGGCTGACCTTCAAACATTACGATTAATGACTGACCTGAACGCCACGCTCACGAAGCCGTTGTCCGCAGCCGCTGTGAAGTAAGACTAGCTAGCTAGCTGACCTTCAAACATTACGGTTAATGACTGACCTGAACGCCACGCTCCCGAAGCCGGGCCGGTCGAAGATGCTGGCGGGCTCCTGCAGCAGCACCTCTTGGCCGATGCCGTTGTCCTCAGCCGCCGCCGTGAAGTCGGGCTGGCTCGCTGATCTTTAAACATTACGAAATTCTTCATATAATATCCAGTTCCATTAATCAAGTGATACCTCACTAAACCGCCCTACATTCTGCTCATAACCACACAATCGCTTACGAAAAGAGAATGGACAAGGAAAGGATGGAGGTCACATGATAAAGGAGGCTGTCTTGTTCCTGACGACATGATTACTTATCTATTACTCTGGTAAGTTCTGAAAGCATATGTATTTTGATAATCCTTCCATACCCTTATCTACTTTACTGTAAAAAATTTAATGAGCCGCTGACTTGATCTAGGCAATAGAATATTTGTGTTTCATCTTAATCCTTTTGTTAATTTTGATTATTGAACTACTTTCATTACTTTTGATTCCTCTCCAAACCTTGGCACCAAGTCGGTACCAAGTACGCGGGAGGAAATGTCTGAAAACGAGCATTACGTACCTACTGCACGTTTCCAGACATTTCCTACCGTGTACGATTGAGCGGTGGAATGAGCTCCTGTAGAATTTAAGGGCTTCTTCAGTAAGAAGGTCGGGTCGGAAACGCATGTTTGATGCTTCCGCTGTTGCAGGCATCAATAGAATACCGTGACTGGTTACCGTGCTAGTTCACCTGTTTCTGTTATGTAATTGTAATAATTGTATACGGAGGGCAGTGAGGAAGTTCTTATTTTAATTGTTATAATATTTTTCATGTTGTACTGTCATAGTTCTTTCTTTTTATTACTTCTACGTAACATATACTACTAACATAGAATAAGTCTACTAGCAAATATGGATCACAGTTGTCTCAAATAAATTAATTATTATTATTATGTTATAAAAACCAGTGCATTATTATACCTGGTAAGCGGCTGGTGAGGGCGCGCGTGTGGCGGGTCCGGGAATACTTGCGCCACGGCGCCGCGCTGCTGCGGGCCCGCGCCGAATGTGCCCACGTACATCACTTCCGAGTCGCGCCGCATGCCGCTCAGTGACGTCACTGATCGACGGCCCGTCGCCTCCACCTCGCCCACCTGTTCATTTATAAGTACTTTTCTTTATAGAATGCTGGCTTTTTCGATGACTATATATTTGTATAATATACTATTTGTAACTTAACAACCAATCCAACTCGGCTACGCAGCATATTGATCTTCAGCCCATCTACCACTGTGTCTCAAGACGAGCCTTTAATACGTGTCGTATGCCAGTGATGACTTATGGAACCGAGACGTCATCGCTCACAATGAGCCTCATAAGAAGGCTCAAAGTCACCCAAAGGGCAAAGGAGGAGCTCGGGGTTTCTCTGTGCGATCAATTCAGAAATGATGAATTCCAAAAAGAAAAATACGGTCACCGACAAAACCCAAAGAATTGGGAGCCTTAAGTGGTAAAGTGGCACATTGCAAGGAAAGACGGCCGTTGGGGCGAAAATCTTTCTCGAGTGGCGGCCGCGTACCGGGAGACGTAGTGTTGGTAGGCTCTCCACAAGGTGGACTGACGATCTCGTAAAGGTCGCGGGAAGCCACTGGATGCGTGTAGCCCAGCAGTGGGCGTCTCTCGGCTGATATGATGATGATGATGATGAACATTACCAACAGTCTCTCCTATTTAGCATGATAAGTGTAGGCTCTCAAATGTACAAAGAGCAAATACGAAGAGCCATGCGATGTGGTAGCATTAAATGGTGCAATTTTTTAGCACGACTGATGGTAAGCAGCCCCCGTAGCCTACAAAGGCTTGCAATTCAAACTCTTCAATTGAACACTGACACAAGACTAATACATAATAACTATGTAATTCAAAGAGCAAATTTTTTTGACTCCGCCCCACCTAATGTTAAGTGACGGTGGAGTGCAGACGCGGAAATGGCTGGTACAGCAGTTCTACCTGCCACACCAGCCATCGTCATTCTACCGTCCTGCATGTTGCTTCTTCACGCCTCTTTAGGTTGTAGGAAGGAGGGAACACGTGAGCGGGCAGAGCATTTGCGGATAGCGCGACAAAGCAATGAATCACCAAATTTCTTTGATCGCGTTGGAATAGTGGTCACAGTAAGTCCGTGACAACGTTGGCCAGCGCGCGTGGTCCTCTGAAGGAAAGGTTAAGGTGGAATAAGGGAGAAGAACTCATTAGAACACTCGCTGTGATATAAATGATAGAAAACGCTTAACGACGCCACGTCACGGCGTAATTGAAGAGGCTTGAGATGTTTAGTCACCTCCTCATCGCCTATGATGTGGATCGCGTGCCGCTGTAACATATCCAAAGCATCGAGTAAGTACTTGGCGGAGCCATCCTTGAGGTCGAGCAATATTCCACGCAAGACCGCACCTGCGTCTTGTACAACAAGCACAGTTTTGCTCAGGCGTGAAAAAATGCGGAACCTTGTTCAGGACTCCGAGTTTTCGGGAGGCCGTTTTTATCACGCTTTCTTTGGATTCAAGTCACAGCGAATTTCCATACCGAGCACGGTGATACTGCTCTCTAGCTCCAAAGTTGTGCCCTGAAGAAAAGTAAATGATGGGAATGGCGGCGTTTTTGCCGTGAAAGCGCAGACCTGGGTTTTCTTGGCATTGAACTGAACTAAGTTCTTGGTACCCCATTCGGAAATGTAGTCCAAAGCCTGATTGAGTTCAATGACAGGATTCCCCCGTTTCTCATTGGTTTCCGCCTGTCCAGCCGCTGCTTGTCTGAGATATCCCGTATGCACTGTACTATCGTCTGCATTGCAATGAATATTCCCAAGAGGAATTATGTCATTGATATGCAGCAGAAAAAGTGTAGGGGATAGGACGGAGCCCTGAGGAACGCCGGCATTCACAGACATGAATTGCGAACTACTACCATCCTTAAGGACACGAATTCTACGTTCATGCAGGTAGCCAGCTACCCAGGAATAGTACTGAGCTGGCAGACCGTATGTCGAAAGCTTGGAGAAAAGGCTTTTGTGCCAGACCCTGTCGAACGCCTTGGCAATGTTAAGGCTGGCAGCAAACGACTCGGCCCGCATGTCGATAGCCTCACTCCAGGTATGAGTCAAGTACGCTAGAAGATCACCCGTTGATCGTTTCGGTCTGAAAACATTTTGACGATCATTAATCACGGAGTGATCTTCTAGGTAGCGGGTCGAATGGATGTTAAGGACCTTTTCTAGGTCTTTACATAATACAGAGGTGACTGCTATTGGCCGGTAGTTGATTGGATCAGCGATCCCCTTTTTTGGGCAACGGTTGCACGTTGGCATATCTCCAAGTCTCCGGCACGGTTTAATGCATATCAATAAGAAACACATTATAATGTTAAAAGCAAAATAAACAAAAGTAAAGTCGCAGCTGCTGTGTAAAAACGAAGCCTAGATGCTTAAGACAATTTATTTTTTATCTTGATATGCTAGGGTTTTTCCTCTTTCTTATCGCTTTAAAGTTATGAATCTAAAGAAATAAGCTTATGTTGTAGGTACTTTAAAGATAATATAGTAAAAATACTTTTGAATCTATTATATATTTATTTTTTATCATTTAACTGGATGTTTAAATCTGTCGCTGCCTTCAGCCTAAGAATTACTGAAAGAAATTCGACACTGCCATTAAGGTCACGGTAGCATAATTAATTTGTTCATCCGCCCAGATAGCGGAGGGTGCGGGTTCGAGTCCCGTCTGCTGCCAGTAGTTTTTTAGTAAAACATACGTCAATAGCAGCCTGCACACGCACATAGCCATCTACGTGCGGGTGCTGGCTGCTATTGATGTATTTTGCTACGTATTTTACGCGACCTGGGTGCTGGTGCAGCTCTTCACCTCCATAGGTCCGGCGCCCGACATGCAGGCCACGCCGAGTCTATGTAAAAATTACCTTGAAATCGTCATTAGGACCAGTTCTTCCCACAGTTCCATTCTTCAGTTTGCTGGCGAGGGCTTTCTTGTACACAGCACCGCGACCCCTAACTCCTGAGTTGACGGTGCCAACTAAAGCACTATAAGTGGGCCTCGGCTGATCATCACTCAGTAAATTGCCTGGAAATGACAAAATGATTCCATGATTCACTTAGGAGACGGTGGCACGGCAAAAAATTACAGATTATTTTTTTATGTTAAAATGGTGGTAAACAATCGTATAGCCCGCCTTAGTGTCGCCGCACACGGGCCTCACGCCACAGCCACAAACGCCGCCACGAGAAGCTAGAAGCGGCTACTAAAGTGGCTGAAGCGCGCGACAGCGGCCGACTAAGGTAAGGGAGAGAGGGGTGGGGAATCGCGCGAACGACGTGTGGCGGCGTTTTGTATCGGCGCATGCGGCAGGTGCGGGCCAAAAGAAGCGAGCAACGACGATTTGTAGCGTGTGGCGGCCACCGGCATAGCGTGTGTGGCGAGTCCATATAAAATGTATGAAAACTACAAGAAATATGCCGGTGGCGGCGTTTTGTGGTTGTGGTCGGTGGCCCGTGTGGCCGCGGCGACACCTATAATAAGCGGCCACCATAGCCTATAGATAGACGGTTGCATTACCAAGAATACACTCGCACCGTTGCCTACCCTAACCCAATCCTCTACCCCGTGGAGGCCTGGAACCTTACCGACAGAAACACAACACCACCAAAAGGTAGTGTTATTTTACTGTGATTTTTTGTAAGGTGGAGGTTGAGGAGACCTTGAATTCAATGTTTCAACGTTGTCAATTTCTTTGTGAAAGCAGAAGTGTCCTGAGATGCTTTAGAAAAGTAAAAATCCATCCACTATCTTATTAATATTTTGTGACTGGAGACATTATTTTCCTCCACGCTGGTCTGAGCTCAAATAGTCAAAGAAAAATACAAATGACAGCCACACATATTTTTCAATCGAATTTTGTAAGTCTATGTACATGGTGTACACTTTTTACTTATCATCGAAAAAATAAAGATTGTGGAAGTAAATTCAGAAAAATACCAGCGGGGCTATTCTGTAAAATTTTCACGCACGCATTTTATATGGGAATTGAGCGGATCCGCAACGGATCCGCACGTGAAAATTTTACAGAATAGCCTCACAGTTGTTATTTGAAAGTATGGAAATTTTGTGTTAAAACATAATAAGTCCATACCGCACGATGATCCAGTTAAGTATAGTAATTTGTTCGACTAACCAAAAATATTTACGCAATCCGCACAAAACGAGCGGATGTGTTTGTATGTCAGTCAGTCATCATCATTTCCTGATTCATTGGTTAATATACTTTCGCCTTATTTAAGGTTATCACAATGCTATATGGCTGCAATTTTCTTCCTACAAATAAACGTACACTTCAAAGACGATTTTTATTGTCAAAAACAAAAAGCCGTACCTATAGTTAATGATTTTTTTTAAACCCTTTTTGAATTTCAGTGACAATATTCTATAGTTCTTTTTATAAAAAAAAGTAGCTTCTAAGTTTGATAACAGGAAGTTGTTCTACGGAACTTAAAACTGAACTTAAAACCCTTACCACGAACCATTATCGAATTCGAATAGTCTTAGAGTCCGAAATGTCATTGTCAATTTGGTTTGGAAACTTGAACAGCAGCGCCATAACGGACGTAACGAGAGCTCAATATCTGTAGACATTTCACAATGACATTATATACTCGCAAACGTTACGAATTTGATATTAGTTTATGCTAGAACCATTATCGAATTCGCATCGTTTGCGAGTCCGAAATGTCATTGTCAAACGTGTACTGATTTTTAGTGCTCGTTACGTACTTCGTGGAGCTGATATGATGCTACCAATATCGAATTCGAATAGTTTGCGAGTCCGAAATGTCATTGTCAATTTTGTTTGGAAACTTGAACAGCAGCGTCATAACGGACGTAACGACAACTAAAAACCAGTACACATTTGACAATGACATTTTCCAGAGTTACAATAGTTTTATTCGCAGTAGCGTGGTTTTAATAAAAACCCGTACAAAGACGACCTCGGACACTAATGAAAAAAACAGATTTCGCCTGTGAATTTCCTTGTCTTGTGTAGTAGAAACACATCCTAATAATAGCAATAAAACAATTTATTTACGGTTATTTCTGTAAATATCGACAATTCATGAAACGCAACAATTGCATGCAACGAAGAAGTTCATTATAATTTTGATAGATAATTACTTTGTACATAATTGGGAAACATTGAATTTGATTCGCGAACATAAAGATTTTACATTTGCTATTGCATAATTTATTTTGTGATTGTGCATTGTTTAAATGCATTTTTTATGCTAATAAGAAGCTTGAGAAGTTTTCACCTAAAATAATAATAATCACTTTGTGTTATTGAAATAAGGATGTATTCTCTTTGTATTTTTCTGTCAATCCAGAATAGCAAACAGCAAAAATTAAGATAATATGTATTTGGATGCCATGTTTCTGTACAAGATAATTAACAATCACATAGACTCAGCTCAACTTGTGCAGAGTATTGTACTCAAAGTTCCTCGTTTCTCCTCACGTTCAAAAGATACATTTTATGTTTCGAGTTGCATACCAACTATGCTAGAGAAACCTTTTTTAGACGGACATGTAATTTTTACAATAAGAACTTGAATGAAGCAGATATTTTCAGTGAATCACTTTACAGCTTCAAAAGGAAAGTGAATTATTGTTTAAATAGTTAACATGTGCGGCGGCGATGTATATCATATGCTTATAGTTATCCGTCACTTTTATGCCGCTTGAATATAATAATTGTATATCAATTAATGGTACTTTAGGTCTATTTGTAAACATAAATTGTAAAATTGTTTGTATAAGACTGTTTGTTACTTGAATTAAATAAATAAAAAAATAAAATAATAATCAGTCAGCAATTACCGTACTTTGAAAGGCACATTATGGCGGTAGGTTGGTAATCAGAAGTTGCTGTAGTTTGCCCCTATGACCCTAAGACGACTTCTAGTTCGCATAGATTTATATGTAATTGATGTCGAAAAACATCGACTACCATGTTTACCTGTAAGCCTTCGGATGCTGCTGTATGCACCGTGTCGCATATTGCTTTTTTTTTCTTTTATTTCGGCAACAAACAGTCATATATTTTACAAAAGTAACTTATGTTAAACATTTTTTTATGAAATAGACCTAACAGTGCCTAAACACAATATTAAAACAGTTCTGAAGTTAGGACATGGTCAGCTAATGAAAATCCAAAATTAAACTATTACAGTATACTAATGTATGACGAAATATTTATATCATATGCATATACACATATATATACATAGGTACGCACTTTATTTTTATTTCAAACCTCTCCTGAAAGTTTTACATTAAGTTTACTTTTAAATGTAGCAAGAGACATATTAAAGAGATCAAATTCAGAGAATTCCTCGTTGTACGTGTTGGTAGAACGATAAATGAATGTGTTTCTCGTATATATTTTTTGACGTTTCGGTGGAACAAACAGCGGTAGTGTACGTGAGGAGCGCATGGGAAGTCGAACTAGACATGGAAATCAAATATTTTCAAGGAGTGCGGACGAATCTATAAGCGAGTTCAGAATTTTATAAAGAAAAGTAATGTCACAGATTTTTCGGTGATTACGCATCCTATAGACTTCTAAGGATTTTTCGTATGTATTATTTACAAAATTATTACGATAATTTAGAGATCTTAAAAACTTTTTTTGAACTCTTTCAAGTCTGTTGATGTGGACATTATAACAGGGGTTCCAAACAGTGCTACCAAACTCAATAACAGAGCGAACAAAGGCAAATTACAGGGTTATGAGTGTTTTTGTATTTCTAAATGGTTTACTTACTCTAAGAATGAAGCCCAATCTCTTATATGCAGCGGCCACAATGCAATCAATGTGATAATTAAAGGATAACTTTGAGTCCATCATTATTCCTAAATCTCTTATACGGTCCATCCTTTTCAGAGGTTTGCCATTTATATAATAATTAAAATTAATTTGGTTCTTCTTACGAGTGTAAGATATAACGTAGCATTTATCAATGTTTAGAAATAATGACGATTTTAGAATTTGGATGACGTCAAACTATTATGGAGTAAGATTTTTGGTAGTAATATTAATCTTTGAGTTAGACAGAATTTGGTGACCGTTAATCCATTTTAAGAACCAAAAATAATATTTGTGCAAGGCTTGCGATTTTTCTGATGTTATTTCATTTATTTTAAATCATAATATTATATTCTTTAGGGCCCTTTTAATAAAGTCAATTGATTTTTTTTGGAGTTGTTTATTTTATTTGGTGCCTAGGCTTAGAGTCTTAAAAATATTTTTGGTGACCGTCTAAATTATACCCGAAATAAATTACAAAAAAGTCTTCTGTAACACAAAAACAATATATTTTTCAAAGTGATCGCAAACTTTTTTTGATGTGTGTATAATGTGTTTGGTTATTTTTGGTATCATTGAAATTTATTTAATTAGCGGGATCGCTACCGTGTTCATTGCTTTATGCGAGGCCCCGATATTTCGACACTTTCGCAAGTGGCCCTGTTTCTTACCTTGGCTATTGGACCTAGTCATCTTCTGCTTGAGCGCCAGCAGCACGTTGCTGGGCCGGTGCGGCATGGTGGCGATCTCCTCGTTGTAGCCCTGCTCCCACTCCTTGGCTAGCTTCTTGAACTCCTTCTCGGCCATGATGTCGGCTTTGCTTTGCCGCTTCTGGTACTGTTTCTGTGATTTCTCGTAGTCTTTCTTCGCTTTCTCCTTGAGGCTCTTCGATTTTTTCCTTGGAAACAAAATGTATGTCGTAAATAAGTAACTTAAATAAACTATTATTTTATGAGTTTGCTCTCAACGTAGTCTGCGTGGATTTAAAAATGCCGATTTTTTTCATAGTTATAAATAATAACATAGAATTAATTTGAGAAGACATATTAAAGATACGGCGGGATGTTTGCTACTGTGTTTCGAAACATTTTCTTGTCTTTTTTTTCAAGAACGTAGATACGAGTGGACATGTTGCGAACATGTCCACTATATATACTAAGAAATCATTGTTGTTCACGTAATGAAGACGCTAGAAAATTGAGAGAAGGAAAAAAGTCTCATAAGAGATCTCTCTCAATTTAGTTCCCTAATTTAGCATCTGGTCGATCCATTGGATAACTACTACAAGTAAGAGGCACAGAGTTGAAACTTATTAAGTGTAGCTGTGCTATGGAAGCAAGTACACAATGGCGTACAGACAGAATATCGCTCTCCCTCTCAAAAGGGGCTGGACTGTGGATGCCAGAATTAAATTACACAAGTTCCGAGCAGTACGAAGATGTGTTTTCGGATAATCATAAAATTGTTAGGAAGTCCTACAAACAGTCGTCAAAACTTTCATGGTAAGCGAGGCATGCATGCCTATATTAGGTATCGATCGTTTAATCTTTGATTTTAGTAACACAACTTTATGATTTTATACTGATAATGGAAGATAATCAATACGATGCCAATAAATTACGTAATTGACGGTAATTTACGGATTTAAAGTCAATGCAAGTATTTGGAAATTTCTGTAATATATGAAATCTAATTAAGGCAGGATTATTTGAAAATATCGCAGTTATTGTTAGAGGTAATGCAGTTAGCTAAGCTTATGTTAATAGGTTTTTACCTATGAAATTGCCGTTTTGCTGTGCTGGCTATTCGGTTAGCTAAGCTTATGTTAATAGGTTTTTACCTATGAAATTGCCGTTTTGCTGTGCTGGCTATTCGAAGTCCAATCTTTTCTTTTTTCGCTAAGAATTCTAAGTTCATATTATTTTTATATTTAAAATACGTTTTTTTTTGTTGAAAATTAGTCATTTATTTATTGGTTAGCGTTCTGTTTTCAGCGCATTTGTACGGTTTCCGTCATCATGAATTTCTTAATAATTCAATGGAGTATGAGTACCGTCGTGGTAGCAAAGCAGCCAAAGCGGCACGCAACATCAACGCCGTATACGGAGCGAGCACTACTAACGATCGCACCATCCGTTATTGGTTTGCTCGCTTCCGTTCTGGAAATTTCGACCTAAGATGTGGACCCCGTTGTCGACCGAAAACTTTATTCGACAATGACGAATTAAAGGCGATGTAGAAGCTAATGTTTCTTAATCTAAAGCTGAATTAGCAGCAGCTTTCGATGCGAGCATCAAAACAATATTGGTCCATTTGCGTCAAATTGGCAAGGTAAAGAAGCTTGACAAATGGGTGCCCCACGAATTGAATGATCGCCAACGCGAAGTATGCGTCAAGTGGAGCCTTGCACTCCTTAACAGGCAAACAAACGAAGGCATATTGAATCGCTTTTGAAAAATGGATTCTGTTCGACAATCGCAAGCGCTCAGCAAGTTGGCTAAATTCTGGTTTAGCACCTAAACAATGCCCCAAACGAAAACTGGTCAATCTTTTGACTCTACTGCTCTTGCACAACAACGCACGACCTCTACTGCATAGCAGTGGCGTAGCATGGGGTGGGCGGGGGGTGCGGTCCGCACCGGGCGGCACTTTGCCGGGGGCGGCGCTGCGGAGGTGGCAGATAGAGAAAAAAAATTAAAATATAAAAAAAAGTTAATTTCTTTCAGTTTTTTTTCGTCATTTTTTTGTTGTTCTTACCAAATACCCAGGTACCTATGCAGGTTCTATGCATGGGTGATGCAAGCGCAAGGTTTCTTAATAACTAACTATTATTTAGGAATTATTGTATTACGTTTTCTCTGTAATTTCTCTAAGTGATATTGTGATAGTCTACCTTCTACTAAATGTAAAAAAATGTTAATTTCACTCTTAGGTTAGTGTTATTCAATAAAAGTACTCTTTTTACCATGCCTCAATTTTTTTATAATGGATTGCAAAAATAAGAGGGCGGCAAATTTGGAATCCGCACCGGGTGCTAGTGACCTATGCTACGCCACTGCTGCATAGCAGACGTTTTCCAAGTTATAAGAGCTGGGGTTGGAAATTCTCCGTCATCCACCGTACTCACCAAACCTTGCCCCTACAGACTTCTACTTATTCTAGAATTTAGATAACTTTTTAGCGGGGAAAAACCGAGAGGCAGTTCAAAGAATTTGTAACTTCCCGTCCAGCAGACTTTTTCAAAAAGGGCATTAAAACGGTCTAGTACCCATTGGACCCTCAAGATTCGACCCAAATGCAAAAAGTGCCCATTGGACCTCTTTTTTGGTGTCCATTGGACCTTCTTAAAACATTTTATATTCAATGTGCCCATTGGACCTCATTTTTGGTGCCCATTGGACCTCCTTAATAAAAATTATATTCAATGTGCCCATTGGACCTCTTTTTAAGTGCTCATTGGACCTTCAAGATTATACCCTACTGCCAGTTGGACCTTATTAACAGTTTTGTTAAGCACAGTACAGTCATGTAGAAAATTGTAGACAAAAATAAAATTAATAGTAGGTATTATAAAGCCACTAACTAAATACTGTATAAGTACTGACTCCAAACAGTAAGTAGTCCAAAATAAATTATAAAGAAATCAGGTTACCTTTTTTCTTCGAATTAACGATATTTCACCGTCCCCGGAGAATAAAAAGATAAGTATAAAAATGTAAGTTTTCAGGAAAAATAAAATAACTGTTTTGTTGTCTATTGCTCTATAAATACTGGACGCAGACAGATGATAATTTTTAACACATTTGGATTTTTTAGTAAGGTACTCGTACAATAAGATATAAGAGAGATATTTAGAAAATAAAAAGTGAATCAAAAGTAATCAAAATTTAATTTGTTTAATGTTTATTTTTATTTTATTCGTATTGACAAGGAGCCAAAACCAAATATTGCACTACTGACATGTATTTTTATTCTATGGTTTATAAGGGTGCAAGTGACAATGATAATACTTCAATATCTTTTTATTTTCGTAAATATTGTAAAACCTTTTTTTCTTTAAAGGACATTATATATGTTTGTGCTTTAGGTTTAAAGGAATGATCATTAATTATATTAATTTTAAATTTAATTACATTAATGATCACTAATGTAAAAAGGTTTCACTCAATAAGGCGATTGTACACTGACCAATAAATACCCTTACAGCGCAACACCAAATCCACAAGACCTTTCAAATCGAACAAAGTTCGATTGATTCAAAGTTCCTTAAAACAGCGTGGATCTAGACAATCTAAGCAACATGACAGTGGATTTTGCAAAGACTTCATCTTTTGATCTAAGACTGAAATTCTGAGGGAGATTGAATGTTTTTATCGGCAGTTATACTCCTCTTAAGCACCTGATGCAAGGAAGGTTATAGATTCCAAGCCCAAGATCTCTGCGCTTAAACAAAAGGATGGCGCCGATCTCATATGTGGAAGAGAGAGAGAAATATTGCTGTCTCGTTCCGATTTATGACATATGTTGCAGCTAGAAAATAATCTTACAACCGTAGGCCATTGCTTAGAAAAATTACTCACATATGTGTCTTAAATATTTAATTTGGTAATTTATAATGTTTTACAAAAGAAGACTGTTAAGGTTGGTAGTGGGTCTTTCGGCAGACTCCAAGTTTTTATGAGATGCAGCGCACTTAATTGTGAATTGTTTGACAAAAAACTAGAACTTTATTTTATCCCGGTTTTTTATATTAAAATAACATAAATCTATCTAATAATTGAATTGCAAATGGCAAGTTTATTTGTCTATTTTTTGTTGCCAAGCATCAAATATATTATGTTCAATGTGTAACAAAAGCAGTGATAATAATTCTGATAATAATCCATGACTGGACTGATTGACATTTGCCATAGTGATTGAGTTAACGTTATAAGCCACCACGCACTAAAAATATGACGTTACTAAGATAGGGTGGCCAGCATACTTACAGAATTGTTTAATTATTAAACACGATTTTAAATTAATCGGTAATGAATAAAAAAATCAAAGTATCTATTCGTGTTATACAAACTTTCAAATTATATATATTTCGTTCCTGCCGGAAACCGATTACCGTTAATTTATATAAGCTATTTAGTTAAAAAATAATTTCTATTGGCTTTAAAAGTAAAGTAAAAAATCTATGATTTGATTATTATATTTTATGTAAATATTTATATTGGTTTGTTACTGATGATTAGTGTTTTGAATTTTATAAATATGTTGATTAAATACTTAGATTTTAACCTTTGTGTTTTTATGTCTTTTACAATTTTACTTTCCTACACAACTGTACTTTACCGTTCCAAAAGAATTAGCCAAATAGTTAAGAGCTCCAATAGCTCCCATTGTGTCGTTAAGTACGTCTTTGAGGGTCCAATGGGCACCATGTTCTTGATAGGAGGTCGAACGGGCACTTTTTTGTAGGTAAGGTCCAATTAGGAGGGTCCAATGGGTACTAGACCTAATAAACTACCACTACGTTGGCAAAAATGCATTGACTGCATGAGTAATTAGTTTGATTAATAAAAATAAAATAAATATCTAATATTAGTTCAAACTTGACATGCGAAACTTCAAACCGTCGCTCCATCGAGTGGAAAGTTCGCTATAACCTATTGAATTAACCGATGTGATTTTATGGTTGCTAGGCTCACTTGTCGTTGTTCTCGAGGTTGGCGGTGGCCTGATCCAGACAGCGCAGAATGTCGTCCCTGCCGTTGACGCACGCCATGTGCATCCTGGGTCACTATTCTGTTAGGCGTGCGTTATGATGATTGCTAGACTAACTTGTCGTTGTTCCCTAGTTTAGCGATAGCATTGTTAGACTTTCCTGTCTTAGTTCTCCAATTGAGCGGTGGCATTGTTAGACTTACTTGTCGTTATTCTCCAGTTTGGCAGTGGCCTGGTCCAGACAGCGTAGAATGTCGTCCCGGCCGTTGATGGCGGCTAACTCCTGCGCCGTGTGACCGTCTACATCCATCGCCCATACGTTGGCGCCGAAGTTGATGAGGAAGTTCACGCATTCTTTGTGTCCCCTCGCCGCAGCTAGGTGTAGGGCTGTGTTGCCGAAGTAATCCGCCTTGTCTGGTTCACCGCTGTAAGAGTACACATTGCTTTTGTGACAAGCTTATTTAGGAAAATAATGGACTAAGAGGTATCTGTGAAAGTTGAATATAGGGAAACTAAACTATTGTTACGTCGTTAAAATTGTACTAGTACCTACCTACCTATCTACAATAATAGGCTTTAACTCTTTACTCGTTGTTTTATCTTAACATTGCTGGAAAAGTTGATTTTAATGTAAACATATTTATCAGTGGGTAGCCACTGCTGGGGCTTGTAAGGCTTGCGGGAGCAAGGTGTGAGGTCCATTCGGCGGTGTGCCTCTTAAAGGCGCCGTCGTCTGTAAACAGTATTTTTTGCCTGCGTATTAAAAACATAAAAAAGGATAACGGATAGAATACATATACTGCACATATATAAGTATACTTATATATAAATACATATTAAACATTCATGGCTGTAGTACAAATGCTCGTATTCATCACACAGACATCTGCCCCCACCGGGATTCCTCTCGAGTCGGCGATACCAAGAAACCCGGCGTACAAACCACTCGGCCACGGAGATCGTCAAAGTTAGTTTCAAGTTCAATCTGACTAAAGTTAAAATACTAGAGAAAAAAAACCATTTGTAAACATTTTACACAGTAGCTATGTGTTTGCCGAGGACGTGACATTAAATGTAGTCAAAGTTAACTATCGATGCAACAACGTCGCCTTATTCGATAGGAAAACCAGCAATACACTACGCTCTTGGAAAATGTGTCCCATTCACTATCCGAGTCTAGCATACTTTAACGAAATACCAATCATGGTGTAAGTGTAACAGAAATTAAAAGTACATAATTACGTATCTTAACAAAGAAAATGTTGAATCTATGCTGCATGCATTGTCATTGAGACTGTTTAAAACAGACAGTGAAAGTGCTACCGATGTAAGCCGTTGAAAAACAGATTATACGGTGAAATTACATTTAAATAAAAAACACTTCGGCATTCGGTAGCGCTATTAGAATCGGCTGCGAACAATGTAAGCGCGTTGAATGTGATATCCCATTGTTATAGATTGTAATTTTTTTCTCGTTACTATGTTGTGTAAGGATGACTAACAACCTTATGTATCTACAAAGTTCTGTGGTCACTGGTGGTTTTTTAGGGCGAATAAGGTATTTTTTCGTTTTGGCAGAAAAAATGAAGTGAAATGCATTGAAGTGAAACTTCTTTACGCACGATTGTCTTGGGTGATAAGCTGGCGAATGCGTTACGCGTTACGAAAAGTGTGTTCGGGCGACGCGAACGGGAGTTGAGTGAGGGATATAAGCAAGAGAAAGCAGTGCGCGCGCACATTTTCTTTCCGTCATTTTCTTCCCAAATACATACAGAAGGAGCTAAAGAAGTTTCACTTCATAAGCACACTAGTTTCTTTTTCATTTTTGCCCTTAAAATTTAATTTTTGTTGCTTTTTTTAAAAAGTATATTTTAATATTCTATATTGGTGTCGTAGATAATTAAGTACGCCTAAGTAAAAAAGAGAACAATACTCTATTTTAGAGTACGGATGGCAGCCCTAAGGACCATGGTCTTTAAGCGTTGGCAATACCACAGTATCACGTTCGTTCCTTAACTGAGACCCCATCTTCTATTCATTTAGAGCGCCCATTTGGGGGTGAAGTTCATATTACAAAAGACCACAGTGAAATAACTCAATCTTTAAGTGCTCATGTGTTTTTGTTGCTGAGTAAAGTTTCTAGATAGAGTTCTAGAAACTGATCTATAAACCTATCGTATCCCGACCCTACCTCTTCTTTAAGGGGTAGGTGGCGCGGGAGTGATGTTCTGGTATCGCAGGCGTCTATAAGTAGTGTTGCCCAAATTCAGTCTTGGTCTTGCAGTCTTGGTCTTGTTCTTGCATTTTTGCAAGACCAAGACCAAGAACAAGACCGCTTATTTTTAGCAAGGCCAAGACCAAGACTGACCGTGCAAGACTTGAGCAAGAACAAGACTAATCCGGCAAGACTCTTGCGTCTTGCAGCTAGGACTTAGCGCTATTTTACGGAGTAGTTAGGTATACAGTTCAGTGTATAGGTACGCTTAGGAATTCTATGAGACGCAACAAACTGTATTAAAGAATATGAAAAACTGGACCTATGCGCATTAGAACATACATAGCGAATAAAAAAATATCCATTAAAATCAAACAGAGTGCATGCATAGTTTTGTTTTAACCATCGGCACTTTGATAATGCGGCATCAAAGGTTTTGTACTGACTTCTCAAAGAAATTTGCCGCTTTTCGGAAGTACATGGTGATGATTCAATAGAAGCCGGCGCGTGGCCGGCTTCTATTGAAATCACATACAACAATCGTTGCCGCCGCGCCGAAATCACAACATTTGACACTATTTGATTGCCGCCACAGGGCCTAGGTATGCTCATGCAAAATTCTAATTTCGTGTCGTGCCGTCCCACTCACGCTAATACTATTTAATATAAGAGCGAGCGAGACGGTATGACACGAACTTCGATTATCGAATTCTAGAGTACAGGTGTTTCAAAGAATAAATAAGTTTTAGAGTGCTTAGAATGGAAACGAATACATTATACTGATCACGCAAGTAGGTAGTATTCGGTGGTAAGGATAGGTAGTAGATGTCATAATAATTTAAACTAGTAAGTATATATTATAATAATGATTATATGGGTTTAAACTAATTACTTAGGTACTATTATTGTACATTTAGTCAAAATATTTCTTAAATTTCTTATGTTTTTACAAGAAAAAATAGCAAAAAAATGGTCAAACATCACCCGTTTGATAAATATTGTAGCCACTTTTAAATATACTTGAAACGTTGAACTTGAAAAAAAAACTACAAAACTAATAAAATAATATAAAAAGCGTACCTAAGTAGGTAGGTACGGAAAACCATGTGGCAGTTGATTTTTCGAATTTCTTATCAAATCTTCAGACATTTATTAATCTGATTAGTCTTTATTATGGCTATGTTAATTTAAGCACACAATGTTCCAATTCTAATACGTTTTTCTAAGATCTAAAGTAAACTTTAATAAATAGCAATAGTCTAATTGGTAATTGCAAGACTTGCAAGACTCTTGCTGCAAGACCAAGACCAAGACTGGGAGCGCAAGACCAAGACCAAGACCAGGTGTATTGGCGCAAGACCAATACCAAGACTGGCTAAGTTGCATTTGGGCAACACTATCTATAAGCCATGGTGGATGGTGGTAGCTTACTATCAGGCAGGTCATTTGTTTCTTTGCCACGGTTTTAACATGTAATGAAAACTATACCATATAGCCTCTTTTTTAGAATAAATAATAATAATAATAAACACTTTATTGCTCACATACAAAAGGACATAGGTACAAACAATACATTAATAACAATAATATGGGCAAAGGCGGTCTTATCGCTACAAGCGATCTCTTCCAGACAACCTTCGCGGTATAGGTAAGCTAAACGGAAAAGAAGATGCAGTAAGCGAGCAGAGTCGATGAGAAATGTAATTAATATAATATACGTACATATAAGTAATTGTCTATCATACACTTACATATACATACATATTATATATATATATATATATATACACATACATGCCACATAAATATATATAATTGAACATAAATATATACCTACATACTAACAACATATGTAATGTTAAAGTAGACTAAGTTCGCAGCAGAATGAGAGTATGTAATCTACTTTTAAATATGGGAAGTGACTTTGAACTCTGAAATCTGAAATTTCAGACGGCAGCTTGTTCCAAAGTTGAGCCACTTTAACTGTAAAGGAATCCTTATAGTATTCTGAGCGAGTTAAAAGGATCTCCAACAAATTATCATTTTTGGAGCGCAACATGCGGTTGTGGTCTGTACCTAGAAATTTGAAACGTTCCTTAAGGTAAGGGGGAGTGCGAGGGTCATAAAACACATTATATAGCAAAGTGAGAGCATGTTCTTCACGACGCAGTCTAATAGGAAGCAACTTTAGCTCCCTCCTAAATTCGGACACATGGTCGAATTTGCGGAGGCCATAAATGAAGCGAATGCAAATATTCTGGAGACGCTGAAGTTTGTCTAGAAGTACTTCATTTAAGTCAATGTTACAAACGTCAGCGTAGTCCAAAATAGCAAAAGGAGTGATTGCGCAAGTTCAATTTTGGTCTTTATAGGGAGAAGATTTTTCCATCTGCGCAGTGAACCGGCAGCAGCAAACATTTTCCTACTGACCTCAGCAACATGAGGAGACCAAGAGAGTGTGTAGTCAAAGATAACACCTAAATTTTTAACAGTGTTGCAATACGGCAGAGGAGAAGAATTAAAGTAGAGTTGAGGAAGACTAGCAACATCCAGCTTGGAAATTTGTTTGGACCCCCCAATGAGGATGACTTGGGATTTGCTGGGATTGATCGAAAGGCCGTAGGCAGAACTCCAGTCGTATATGACCTTGAGCTCGTCCTGGACAAGTGCAATCAAATTATTTATATCTTCAGCAGGAGCCGGACGGTAAATTTGTAGGTCATCAGCATACAAATGGTATTGGCAGGTGAGGAGAGGAGTAAGGAAGTTGATAAAAATTGAGAAAAGGAAAGGAGATAGGACTCCACCCTGAGGCACTCCAGCAGTCACATCACAAAACCCAGAGCGCCTGTCATCAAAACGGACACACTGCTGTCGCCCAATAAGATATTCTCGGAACCAATCTACTACCACATCTGACACAAAGACCGACCTCAACATTGATAAGAGGATGTCGAAATCAACGGTGTTAAAAGCATTACTGAAATCTAGGAGTACTAGAAGTGTGACACGTTGATCAGACATGCCTTCGCGTGTATCGTCGGTTATCTTTGTCAAGGCAGTTACCGTACTATGGGCTGGGCGAAAACCAGATTGAGGAGGGCTCAGAATCTTTTCAGTGTTAGCAAATATATTGATCTGGTGATGGACAAGTCGCTCAAGGATTTTGGAAAGAAACGGGAGAATAGAAATAGGTCTAAAGTGACAAGGTAAACTAGGATTGGATAACTTTGGAATGGGAAGAACAGCTGCAACACGCCAGCAGCGTGGAAATGACCTAGTGCTAAGTGAGAAGTTAAAAATGTGACAGAGTATAGGAAGAAGTGTCGTGGAACCTAATAAAATCATTTTCCGGCTAATTCCATCCAACAACAATAAAGTTAAGGTTCCAAATCGTACAACCTAAGGTTCAACGATAGACATAGAGAATGGAGTGAGCAATACACGCATGATATTGACAACTCTCTAGAAAGATAGGAAGCGATAATGCAGCCCTTAGATGTACGAATTATTGGCTACACGTTCACTTTGTCGCGCTCACATTATTTGCCCAGTTTTTTTTACAGTTGGACAAAGAACGTTCAGTCCATTCTCTATATACATGGGTTCAACCATGGACGAAGGATTTCGACTTGGTCCATGGGTTTAACATACCCTCGCCCACAGAGAAGCCTCAGCGCCTCGATGTGGCCTTCGAACGCAGCCCACAGAGTGGGGGTCATCCCGGACTCGTCCTTGTTGTTGCACTCCTTGCGTGTCGCCTCCCGCAACACCTCCAACATGCCATCTTTGGCGGCTCTGCCAGCAAACAGATAAATAAATATTAAAATCAGCCAAATCCGCGATTTAAAGTTGTTGGATAAGACTGGTAGAAATATAATGAACAACTAAAATAAAATTGATTTTCTCAAACATGTTTGCGAATGTGACCATTATGATGACAAGCTTCTTCACCAAATAGTCAAAATTGCTGTACTGTGTAAAATAAAAATGTCGTGGTAAAGTATTATTGGCCGCTAAACCACGACATATTAAACTCATATATAACATGTAATTTAAAAATGGAACGAACTTATACTCCTGTAAATTATCAGGGGTTTTATTACAAAAGAAACCGATGAACACTTTGAAATAAAAAGTGTGCCGTGTACTTCTTAGTTTTAATTACCGCGCATTAAGCATAATGAGAAAAGTCTCACAGAAAAGTACTGTATAGACTTTTCTCAAAGCCTCGGCCACTACTAGGCATTGATGGACGTATTTACACGTTCGTCCATCAATGCCTTTTTTGCTGGCAGCTGCAGTACTGTATTGTTACATTGTGCATATAAGTATTTATCTATAAAAATTCTAAGTATGTCTAGTCGAATATTATTATCGCTTTAATTGATGCGATAGGTAATAATAATATGAAGCCATGAAGGTGGTAATAAAATATCATTGATGTGTTTTATTGTTGTTTGATATAATAATAAAATAAATTATTTATGTTATCATGCTCGTAAGATTAAGTTTGTATTTTTGACATTGCTAATCAACCGCGTTTATTTATGTTTTAAATTTTTTCTTCTATATAGGTTTAAGTATAGCTTAAACTATTTAAATTGAATAACTAATTAAAGTAAGGTAGTTCTGCAATATGAATTCGTACTTAATCGGCGGCTCTTTTGCTGTTAACCAGTTATTCTTTCTATTGGATAATAGATGGCGCTGAATTTATTTTCATCAAAAACGATGTCATTCATTCAATTATTACTTAAGGAGTGTAATGAAAAATTATAAGATTTTATAAAACAGCTATTATGTGAATGTAATAAAATAATCACATTATGACTTGGGTCTAGAATTATGCTAAAGTAGATATTTGTTTTTCGATTATTGTCATAGTTATAATAATTTTATTTCTGAAGTAGTAAGTGTGCTTAATTGCACAACTACCTTATCAGAATCATATGTGTCTATCGATTTTAATCGGTATGCTAGGGCAGCATACATCGGTATCAGTAAGTACGTACAACACGTAGTTCTAACTTTTATCTCCACGCACATCAATAATATATTAGAACACTTTTGGACCGCTACATTTAACTGGAGATTTCCAGTGCTCGATGGTACAAATAGATCAAATAGTTTAGTAGTTATACGCATAAGCATCATCATTCAAATAAGCAGCTGAGTCATTGACCCAAACATACCCCTGGCATACGGTATTCGATCACCAAGGCAACCCTACACATGCAGTGCGGTGACAACAATCGATCGTTCATAAAAACAACTCTTATTGCCAGAGCACAAAAACTATTGCTGATACCGAAATGACTCCACCCTAGCAGAGCTGGTGGTCACCGACCGTGAAGGTGCAATCATAATGTACATGTTCAGTTGCTCATTTCCTATTTGGCTAATACAACTGTTGTATTGATGTAATTATTATTTTATAGTCCATTGCTAGTACATTTACTTACTTAAGTTGAACATAAATTATTTATAATAATTTCAGATATTATGGAGCCTGAGGTTCTTTATGAAGGGAAGTGGGAACTTTGCAATTAAGCATCTAATCGATTCCATTAGGAGAATGATGTTTAACAAAATAATCTTACAGAAGGCCAGGAGTAATCTTAGCGGGATGCAATTGCGTTTGAGATATGGCTAAATACGAATTAGGCATTATCTCACTTCTACTCTTATTTGATTGGTATGAATCCTTAATGAAGTTTAGTCACGCCACTAAGTTAGGATAGACAGATAATCTAAGTAAGATATTTAGATATTGTGTAAAAGAGTAGTAGTAAGACCAGACTGTAAACATAGCATACAATTTATTGTAATGAGCATTTATGATCAAAATTTGAATATTGATGAGACATCTGTTGTAATTACCATTCTTATAGTAATTGATTTTATCGAGGTAAAAATATAGAAATATCTTATGGAAGTTGCATTTTATTTATGTCTACTTAAAAGAAGTGTTTGATTTGAAATTCGGTTTATATATTTAAATGTTCCTGTTTTTGTTTTCTAAAGAATGGATGTCCACCAATTGTTTCAAGTACTGTCCAATTCGGTCAATGGCCTTTCTTAGTGCGGAAACAGGACTAGTGGATTTTGATGCATGACCAGCACAATGTGACCGTGGAGCGGAAATGTTATGCGAGCGACACCTCATCGGCGTTTACTTGATGTATTGCGTGATAGCATGACTCCCCAAATAAAATTAATATTAACGTTGTTTTTTCAAACGATTCCAATATTTTAATGTTACAGCAGGTTGAAATTTGAGGAACAGTCTTGTTTGATAAGCCGTAGCTTCAGACATAAACAAGATACACTGGCATAATCCTATCTGTAATTTCGACAAATAGGAAAGTATTGGAGTTTCTCAAGTAAGGGGAACTGCAAAATTTCTCGATTGTGAATTTTAGTCATTAAACTAAAAATGATTTATAAGAGATAAAACACTAAGACATAAGTAAACGACTTAACTGCACTTTATGACTAATTTTAGCTTTCAAAGTAGTAGTAGTTAATTCTAACTAGAGACACTTACAAACATGTACCTAAGCGTTCTATTGTCGGCGTTGTGGAATAGTGAGGCAAGAGTTATAATCTCACTTTTGCTCGTAAAATAACTGTGTTATATTTACGTAATGGCTCATTCTGGTGCATGGGATTAGAACATTCTGTACGACATTGATACTTGTACACAGTTTTAATAAGTAGTTTAATAAACCTGCGGCTATGGTAATGGGCTTTTCTACTTTGATGAATTATTATGGGCAAAATGGGTTGTGTTGATGATTAATAAGATTCTTAGATTTGGTTAAGTATTTTAAGACGATGGAAATTCGTCTTTATGCTTCATTATATGGACAATAAATTGCAAGAAGGCTATATTAATAGTTTCGTGCATTAAGTAGCTCTAACACTAGAGCTGAAAATTTAAATTATGAGTATATTTATTTCTTCTATTACTATATATTCTGTTTAGGGTTCCGTAGTCCTGATAAGGAACTCTTATACCTAGTTTCGTCATGCCCGTCTGTACGGCCCCGATTTTGCTTGGAGGCTGTTAGCACTAGAGAGCTGTAATTTTGTGGAGATATGTAGGTATATCAATCACGCCGACAAAATGGTAGAATATTTTTTTTTAATACAGTAGCTCCCCTACATGTAGCCTGGGGATGTTTTTTTTTCACCGTCTACATCCTATCGCCTGGGGTATCGTTAAAATTACTTAGGGGTTCCTTAGATTATTTTTCGATTTAGGGATCCGTTTCAGAAATATTGCAGTTTGAAGTGCCAATTTTTATTCAAGTAGGGCGCCCCCCTCTCTAAAAGCTAAAGTATTGGCTTGAAAAACCTGGAAAAATTAAAGATAATAGATAGTGCTTTCATTAACTTTTAAGGAAATTTATAACGTTTAAGGTTTCTTAACTATTGAAAATTCCTTAGAAGAAAACATTAATAATGACATAGATGAAGTTATTGTGGCGTAATACATTGCATTGAAAACAAAATTTAAATGAAACTATTTAAAAACGAATTTTCTTAATTTCCGATACAGAAAATAAACACTCCTTCCTGCTCAAATATATTGCGTAAACTAACAGGCAAATACGGAACACAACACTGCGCGTGGCACGACATGCACTTGGCCGGTTTTTTACTTTCTTTTAGTTGCAATTTGAAAGATTTTACAAAGTTTAGAGAATAAAAATATTTCTTACACTTAAATATGTGCCTAGCTCCAAAGAAAGCTCCGCAAGGGTCATGTTATAGGATACTAGTGTAGCGGATACAAATAGTTTAGGTACATATAATCTATAGATAATCAAAATACTTACCATAATAAGTATTTTGTAGAAATATACCATATAGGGTTCGTATTGATTTGCTTCTAGCGGATGGGATTTGAACCCAAGACATCCGAGTAGGTGGACATCTTAAATCACGAAACTCATCGAAATATATATTTCAAACGACCAATAATCAGTACATCCAAAATTTTCCAATCATTATACGAAAATGCCACTATGTCAGTCCCCCTTCAGGACCAAAATCAAAAACCAATACAAGTTCAGTGAGGCAGAGCTACGGTATAACGCCGAAACTGTTCATAGCTGCGCATAGTTCATAGGAAGTGTTGTCGCTTTAGATTGGAGAGAGAACATAAACGGCGAGTACGTAACGCACCTTCGCTTTGCAGATGATATCGTAGTCATGGCTGAGACCCTAGAAGACCAGAGCACAATGCTCGATGACCTCTGTAGAGTTTCCCAACGAGTGGGTCTTAAAATGAACACGGACAAGACGAAAATTAAGTCTCATTCCCATGTTGTACCCACTCCGGTGAAGGTTTTAAGCTCTAGACTGGAAGTTGTGTCACAGTATGTTACATAGGACAAAGAGTCCCAACTTGGTAAGTTCAACGTCTAGAAAAAGTTTAATCGACGAATTGTACTCGACTGGACAGCGTTGGGGAAGCTATACAGCATATTCTCGGCCCATCTACCGTAGTGTTTCAAAACAGAAGTCTTTAATATGTGCATTTTGGCAGTGTTGACGTATGGAACCGACACAATGAGCCTCATAAGAAGGCCCGGCCCCCCCTGGGGCAATGGAGAGGGTTGTGCTCGGGGTTTCTCTATGTGATCGAACCAGGAATGATGAGATCCGCAGAAGAACTAAGGTCGCCGACATAGCCGAGAGAATTGCGAGCCTTAAGTGACAGTGGGTAGGGCCATTTGCAAGGAGGAGTTACGGCCGTTGGGGTGGAAAGTTCCTCGAGTAGCGGCTATGTATCGGGAGTCGCAGCGTTGGTAGGCCTCCCACAAGGTGGACCGAAGATCTGGTAAAGGTCACAGTAAGCTGGTTGTGGGCAGCGCAGGACCGATCGGTTTGGAATTCATTAGGGCCTTTGTCCAGCACTGGGCGTCGCTCCGCTGATATGATGATGAATTAATTCATTGAGATTGATCAAACAGTTGCCCCATCGGGATTTGAAACCTGGTACTCGGATTTTGCGATACCTTGAAAACCGGTGTAAATATCACTGGTGTAAGTGTTATGGTATGGAGGTTGTCGAACAATAATCGCTTTTTTGTAATAATTTAGTTTCAAAGAACTACACATATAAGAATTACAAATATCTCACTTATTATATTAATAGTTTTGCAATAAAATCACGATTTAAAAATATATTTTATTACTATAAATTTGTCATAAACCATATCTATTAAGTGGTCATCAAAAATATTCTGATAATTATACCTGCTTAGATTAAAAGTTATCTTATCAATTGATTCGCAATAGGAAGGTAAGTAATACTGGCATGATAGATTTTACTATCTTAAATGTTCTGGTAAAGTAGGTAAGTACTTACTTATGAAATCGATCTGTCGTCATTATTCAAAATTTCTCCAATTTTCTTAAAACACAGGCACTTTCTAAAAGTATAATCGTCTCATTTTTGACAATTCGTTCACATTACCACCGCAAAATTGATAACATGGGAAAGTAGTCTCGATACACTTTGTTAAAAAATAACTTGTTATAAAATTTTGAACTTTATTATGGATATTGAGCTGTGCTTTATATTATTGTATAAAAAGTTTTATGTTATCTGTATTAACACGTTAATACAATGAAATGTAAAACAATAACAAACACCTGTTTGCTTTCGTGAGAATCGTGTAACTTGGTAACTTTAACTGAATGAATGTTGACGGACCGGTTGTCCGGTTGCGTTTCGTTTTCGTCGTGCTGCAAGCGTACGAAAAAATGCGAGAATGAGCGGTGAATGAACTACGAAGCAATGACCTGTTGCTAGCGACCTCTGTGAGGAATGGGGTAACTATTACCATTAAATTAGAACTTGTAAGCGCCATCTGTGGTGGAGTAGCGGAGTGTGTTATCATTTATTTTTGTTGTTCTATGCTAGAGGGCGCAAATAACTTATTAATGCTTCTCTGTATCAGGGTCTGTATTAGTAGGTATTTGTAATTATTTCTACTGTTACAATACCAAAAAAACAGTAAACCGTTTGTACTACGCCGCGTATAAGCTATTACTGTATAGTAGACACCGCAAAAATTAAAAAAAAAATGGATGCGTGTAACCACGGAGGAAAAACAAAGCGTGTAACTTATGTACGCGCGTGAGAAGTTATACTTCTTTAGCATCATTAAAAATATTTTTTAATTGCATGCAAATAATTAATAATTACAATAAAATAATAAAAGGACTGGAAAAGGATAGTTAACACAGTCAATTAAGTTCAGTTTTAATTTGAAAAATTAAATAAATATTCAAAATATTCAATTAAAATCACTACTGATTTTAAGTTATTAGTCCATATGTAATTAGTACTTGTAAGTAACTAAAACACGTTGTGTCTATATAGAAACTAGAAACATGTGGATAAATATTATAAATATGAAAACAGTGATCAGAGGCGACGAGCGTGCCAACATTGTTTTTGACAACGCGATCATCTTATGGAGCTCCGTGGATCGTTCAAAATACCTTTCGAACAGATGTCTAATAATGGTGGATTATTAACCACTAAGTGGTTAATAATCCACCATTATTAGACACTAACATTCATAACGCGCCCGCGGCCAACTTCATGGTGTTACTATTGTGTTACAGTGATGCGCGCGCATCTCGAAATTTCACTCACATGATTTTTTCATAACGCGCCCGCGGCCAACTTCATGCTGTTACTTTTGGGTTACAGTGATGCGCGCGCATCAAAAAATTTCACTCTCATCATTTTTTCATAACGCGCCTAAAGAAGTACGAGCTGGGATCTTGAAATGATGATTTGTATGAAAACAATATTTCAAGATTTGTAGTCTACATTGTAGGATGGGAAGCAAATATAGTTTTTTATTTAACTTCAAATTTTTTTGAAATCAATGACGAATTCGGGTATAATTATTTTGATCTCATCACATAAATTATTTATTTATTTATACATAGTATTATAGATAGGTTTACATAATTTTAAGGTAATGTTTCCAGATGTCCATGGGGCACAAAGCCTCCTCTCCAAGCTTCCGGCATTCGATCTACTTGCTCTGTTCACTGCCGGGGCGGCTAATTTCATGCATGTGATGAAAATTCTGGATTTTACGGACGGATATAGATGACAGTTCATATCAGTATGTAAGGGTCCCATCCTATTCCCTATTCTGCTTAAAGTTGAAAGGGTGGTATAAACGGCCACTATTGCCTGTAGTAAGTATAGGCTTGCGATACCAAAAATACCTAATACCCTACCCCATGGAGCACAGAAACCTTACTCACGGACATAAATACAACACCACCAAAAGGTAGTTTACTGTAGTCTTCTGTAAGGTGAAGGTTACTTCACCAGGCGGGAGTTCCAATTTAATTGGATTTTTTTTTTACATTCAATAGGGTTACCCTTGACGGCCACGCGCCTGATGTAGAGCGACGTAGCAGCCTAAGGTGGGACGCGCTTGCCTAGAAGAAACCGATTCACTTGCGACTTGAAGAGCCCCAGATTATAGGTGTCTGAAAACAGAGATTCCGGCAAAGAGTTCTACAACCTAGCTGTTCTGACGATATAGGTGGAAGCAAACCACTATGTCCTTCCTTTCTGAACCTAGGTACCAACCTCTCTATACCTGCAGATCAATTATAAATACTTTGGGATATTTTGGACTTGCAGCAGCTGAACGGGAAGAAAACCAAGATAAAGAATATAAACGGGAGAATCTTGTAATCGAGCTCAATTGGTTTTCGGACCACATTTCCGACCAAGACCAAGACATTGTTTGAGTTCAATGCTAAGAAAACTTATTTTTGAACTTTTATGGCATACAGGTCGCCTAGCTTTCCCCTGTTCTCTTTACAGAGCAGCATCTCCATACTGGGTGCGGAAGCTCAACGTGGTTTTAATCCATAGTATCTAAATCGTGATCAAAGCAGCTTCGCACTCACTACACGGAGTCTCTATACAAGGTACAAGGTGAGTTTTTGCTCCCGAACAACTGTACTTGTTGTACAAGACGCAATATTCTACCTTGCACGAAAATTTATAAGCAGTAAATATATACTAATGAATTTTTGTTCCATGTTTTGGTTTAGTTGCAATGACGCGTTGGTCGCATCATTAGCAAAATGGTGAATAACAATTTCCAGTTTCTTGAATTCCGCTGTGAGGTAATCTCACTGAGCACCTTCTTTCATATCTATTTAAAATTTAAAAAAGAAAGGACATTGTTCTGCGTCCATACATAGTTAGCCTAAGAACCAACAATCATGAAATATTATTTTCTAGGTTCGAAATTGCAAGTAAATGACTGTAAAAACAAAGATTATTGACGGACACTTCTGAGAACTTAAATTATTAGGAAAACTAAAATTGTTTTGAGGTTATGTTTAATATTAAATAAAACATAGGTCAACCTATGAACTACTTAGTGTGAACTCAATATGAAGTGAATTATTAACACAACTAATTCATTTTATTCGGTGCAATTTTAAAGAATAACCATTAGGAAAAACTTGGTTAGGTAGGAATCATGGATAAAATAAAAACTAGTTTTGCTTTTTATTTATTGACTGTTTTTTCACATAATTGTATCATATTGTATATTATATTTATTTGTATATCACATGTATATTGTGTAAATATGCAGCGTGAATGTGTATCAGGTGCTCTTGAATAATTTGGCAGTATGATCCTCTCAGGATGTTGTGGCACAGGTTCACTAGCACTTGGTAATAAGGTCTCTGCTCTTTAATATAACATCGATGGCATATTAGATAGCCGAAATAGTTAAATTAAAGGAAAAATTATTTTTTAACTTTTTAATTTAGCTTACTTAACTGGAAGTGTCCGTCACGATCTAAATACTGAAAATTATCGCAAAATATATACTAAGAATTATCATAAATGCCAAATTGGTGTTGGTTCTTAGGCCAATTTTAACATTGTTCTTTGGTGACTCATTTCTTTGTCGTACAATTCGTAAGCGGAATTCTCTACCCGCGTACATGTGTTCCCTCCTTCCTATAATCTGGGGTCTTTAAGAGAGGCGTGAAGAAGCATTTTTACAGGCCGGCAAGGTGAGGATGGTTGGTGTAGTAGTTTATAACTGTTGTACCAGCTATCTTTGCGTTTGGACTTTATCACCACTTAACATCAGGTGGGGTAGAGTCATTTGCCTACCTCGCTATAGAAAATAAAATATAACGGCGAGTGATCCGAGGAGTAATTTTCCCTTATCTCAGCTTCCCCTTTTCTTCAGATGAGCACACGAGCGGGTCGTAGTCGCCACTAGCATAGTATGGCCAGGCTACTATTCCAACACGAACAAAGTTTGTGGACACATTTCTTTGTCGTATACAGGGCGTCCCACGGGTTTGCTACACGCAGGGAAAGTATATTAAATATTGAAGATAGGATATTTTACTGTAAGAAGACATCATTTGATTTTTAATAATATCTAGAGCTGCATTTACAGATTTATTAAAAATCGACTGCTACAGTTGGGAATCAAACTTGTGAAATGTGAAACAAAAAACACATGTATTTCGGGGCTCGATGGCGCAGGTCGGCCAACTTTCGTCGGTCATTGGATGGGTGACTAAAAAAATATTATACTTGTTGGGCCCGTGCAGTAGGTTATGGCCTATGACCCCTATTCCATCCATAGGGAAGGCTTGTGCTCCTGCAGTGGAGATATTATTAGGCTGATGATGATGATATAGATAAGAAAAAACCCACAGAAATAAATTAATCCACTAAGGCTGCAAAAAAGGCGTTAAGAAGCATTGTTGCAGGCGGTAAGATAAAGATGGCTGGCGTAATAGGTAAAGATTTAAATTATATAAATGATTAGTTGTATTTTTAGTGACATGTACCTATTTCTATAGGAATTTTATTTTATTTTATTTTTAGTTATTTTCTAAACCTCTGCACCAGCTAAAGGTATACGAGCCCTGATTACACCATCACTTAACATTCAGGTAGTCCCTAGCTTATTATGAATTTCACTAGAAAAGATTAATATTGACCCTGTGAATAATACTTAACTCTAACACCACTAAAAGCAGTTTAATTCACTACGGTCCCCTGTAGAGGTCATTTCCCCAAGCGGGATAATTCCAAAGGGAAATTAGTTGTGAGTTGTTTTTTTAAAAAGTCTCTTTTAATGTGGGATATAAGTGTATAACGGTTTTTTTTTGTAATGGAGTTCTTTATTTAAATATATTTTTACGGCATACAAAACCATTTTCTCAAACATGCTTGGAAATTACACCATTATTTTGACAACCTTCTTCAAGATGAATTGAAATAGGTGTATAGGCCAAATAGTTACATACGAGAAGCGGTCGGCAAAAGTTATATAAAAATCCCAATCTGTTCTGGTTAAGTGGCCAAATAAATTACATAGTAAACTGATTATGTGTCGTGTAATTTAAAAAAAGAACGATCTTGTGCTCCGAAACATGAGAACCGAGGAGGCAACATATAAACTACTAGAGTCTGTGCGGAAATAGAATGGGCGTGGCGAAAAACGGAACTAACATTAAGATTTTTATTTGGCAATCAAACCCAGCAATCTGTAAAACGCGTAAAGTATTGTATTGATACGGATTTGTTTGTTGTTGTGATTTCTTGCGGTTTTTTGTATTTATCATATCTAAAAGGAGTAAAACCTTACAAATACTAATAATAAAAGCACTACAGCGCCCTACAATCTATATCCCATT